TAGAAATAAATGAGGAAAGTCCTGCTAAGCAAGCAAGAAAATCACAGCAGCTCATTACAAAAAACATCTGGGATGCTTTGAACATGACAGGCTGTTGCTTATGTAAAACAAGTAGAAGGGCACTGAAGGGGGTTTTCATAGTGCTTTTAATTGTTTGTGGAACTTTTTGAAATGTGGATGCCACTTTTCTTTTCTGCATGCCTTCACAGTTTTATCTGTCACTGATACTGTAGTCTGCTGCAGGCGCTATCAACCCTGTGCAGCTGCCCGTGTGGTACAGTGTATGGGAAATGACAGGAGCATCTGTGGAGGGCCTCTTTCGCTTTTTTCTTTCATTTCCCCCTTTTTGCTCCATGATCACACCCTCCAGTCACCTCTTTTGAACACCATCTCCTCATTAAATGATTAGACAACATTCTGATGCATTATTAATCAACTTCTCCTGCATCAATATTGCATTAGCCCTAATACGAAGGTTTCACCAAAGAAGAAGATCTCTAGTGAGAAGCAACTAGCTTTATTGAAAAAGATTTTTAAAAAGCATTAATCAGCTTTCATCCATTTCCTCAGTGTATGGCTAAGCAGAAGCCTCCAACTTGCTCCTTCTTGTGGTGAAAAGAGAGCGGGTATGTGTTTGTGTGTGTGAGAGAACATGAGGCTGTATTTACTCAGCCACATGCTCAGATCCATGGAGACATCTTGGAGAAAGGGTGGAATGTGACAGACGGTTAGAGAGGAGAGAGAAGGAATCCTCATCCTGCTCCTCTTTACTTTTCTTCTCCTTGTGTTTTTTACATGCACAGAAATACAACAGCTATAAAACACACACTAAATGAAAGGGCTATGTAGGCGAGGACAGAAACTAACATAGGATTAAAGCAGCAACCTTTTCAGGTCTCGGTATCTGGCACTCTGGATATGTTAGTGAAATACATGTGACAGAAACTGAGATTTTGCCTTCATCTCCTGCACCACCTTATCTTCTGTTTCTGTCCCCTTTTTCCTCATCTACTGCAGTCTTCCTCCTCCTCCTCCTCCCCCTCCTCCCCCTTTTCTTTAATCTTCTCTCCCTCACCTTGGATTGAGCTCAGCTAAGGCACAGAAAGAACTGAAACAGACTGATGGCCATTACAAATCATCAGATTCTGTTAAGGCTTAGAGGTCTGTGATTTGATTTTGACCAATTTCCTTTTACATAAAAAAAGAATATATTTGTGTGTTTGGGCTGAGGAACATTTTAAAGGAGGATTGTGTACAGAGTTAATGGAAAGATGCAATAAAATGTAAATTTGCTTGAGTTTCGGCTTGAGTAAAAAATTTGCATATCCCAGGGCTCAGTATTCATCCTAAATGTGCAGAGATGAAAGGTAAAAGGAGAGAGCCTGGAGGGAAATAACAGATTGTGGTGAACAGAAACACACTGGTACACCCCTGTACACACAGTCGTTGTGTCCCTTGCTAGCTAGCTTACAGCTGACCACTGTACAGTCGGTACATTGATCGTTTGGGACAAATAAACATTAATAGTGAAGACCCACTAGTGAACAAATTTCATGACATTGCTGGCGCATAGCTTTCTCATTAACAGTGTACTGTACATAGGTAACCTGCACTATCTCCAGCAATTTATGTGAAGTTGTGCCAAGTAGCATTTGCTTGGGTTTTGCTCGCATCTATAAACCTGGAAGCCAGGGGCACGGCAAAGAGAGATGTCACAAATAATGATCTTCTTTTCCACAGATGTGTCCACAGCAGGTAAAGGCTTCCTGGCCCAGCAATGTATTGTGTTTTTGGTGGAAGTTATTTTGAGAAACACTGTGTAGTTGCCAGTCTTTTGCAGTGCAGGTCAGTCCTGGACACCCATAATGCCTTGCGAAGGGATTTGTTAATGAATAGGGATGAACATTGCTTCATGCCGTGCCTTGTGGGTCTTCACTGTTACAGTCCAGCAGTCAAATTATGCAAGGCAAAAGTTCTGTTTACTTTCTGTCTGAACACATTACTTTCACAACTCTATTGTAGTTTTATGAATTCTATAAGAGAGCAAACAGCAATCAAACACAATATCTCAGTAAGAGGCTCTCGGCAGGAATAGCAATATATTTAAGGATAAGACCAGTGCTTTTCCCATTTTTTTAAATCCAACAGTGGATTTTATGTTCTCACTGTAATCTAGAACATACTTGTCTATGAATCCAGAACCTGCCATAGGCCTCCACCATTGCCTGTAAGTAAAAACCCAAAAGAATCAGCTTACTCGTGTGTGATCTCTGCTCTGTTTACACTACTCCACTACGCATAACAATGTTAACAGACCACATAGATGCACGCCATGGATGTCATATGAAAGCTGGATATAGTGTTGCCACTCAGCTGGTCTACCAGTTTTTCCCAGTGGCCACTCCTGGTACTGCATTTAAAAATGATCACTCTTCCTATTGTATATCTTTACTCTATGGCATTTTAGTCATTGCAAAACTTGCCAGAGTCTAGAGTCCCATAGTCCCAATGTAAAGTCTATGGGCCAAGTGAGAGCATGTGGGAGTGGACAGTGGGAGAAACAAAGATACATATGCAGTGGGCAGCACAATGTTGAATTAAAGAAGAAAAATCTACTTGGCATATGTGTCAGGCGAGCAACTTTCAGTGGGAAGAATGGGCGCCATCTTGTAATCCAGTATGCAGTTCTCCTTAATACATTCATGGCTGTGTCCCCATCACTCCCTACTCACAATGTAGTGCACTATGGAGTGTGTTTACCATGTTGTAGTGGTGCAGAGTGTGTGAATCTACCCATTATAATAGGGCAAAAAAATTCCACAGTGGAACATAAACAGTAGTGTACATGCTATGTACACTACTTCCTGCTAACAATCCCACAATGCAACACTCTACATTTTTATCAGAGGGAAAATTACTGTCACTGTTCTACAGCTGTTAGAGATGACTCAAAATGATGATGATTCATAAGTGCCTGAAATCTCAATTTACTCTTTGCTACTGAGTGAACTACTTAGTGTACATTTATAGAGAGTAGGGAATGAGTGAATGAGGTAGTGATCTTGGACACCAGCTCTTACCCTTTGGAGCTCTTTGAGTATACCAAAGTCATCGGTGGCTTTAATTTCTGTGTGGGATGATTTGAAAATAATAAAAACATAGAAAATCACCAACATTATCCTTTAAGTTATAACATAAGCCTTAACAGCAGATCAGTAAAAAGTACTGCTACATCAGTGTGGCTGAACGCAATAGAAAACATGCCAAATCAGCCAGAGTTTTCAGTTTGTAAGTAATTAAAGACAATTTTAACCAATTCTAATCTCTTCCAACTTTTTTAATAAATGCAAATGGTTTTCCAAGTCTCAAATCAATGCTTCACAACCCATCAGTGTTTGGTTCACACTCCTTGCTTTCAGCATGCCACACATTTGTTGCTGTAGTGATACAGAAAAGTGTTATCTAGTGACAGACATTCTGAGTGATGATGATGATAGTTTGCCAACAGACTGACAGAAGTTAAATGTTGCTTGTGTTGGCCTGCTAGTACTCTCAGCTGTAAAACATTTGAGAGACAGATGAATAGGAATAATTCTGCAGGTGTAGCAGATTCCCCCTCAGCTGCATAAACGGACAGACTACAGCTGTGTGTGACTTGAATGGACAGAGCCTCTCGCAACCTGTTGCATAATTTATGAGGGTATTTCTATTAGGTTTGGTTAATGTGTTTCTTCACCACTCGTTGGCTCTCATCAGTGCCTGCACACAGCGACACGCAGCAGCATCATTTAGACACTTCCACAGTTACCACATGCAGGAATCCGACCTGGACTTAATTCAAGTATGGCACATTCATGACTTTTACATGTTTGATGCATTGTCTTTAGAACAGACTCACCACAAGCTCACTTAGAGGTTGTATATCATTAACGATAGAATTAACAAGTTGAATTAAAGTACTGTGTTTAAGACAGAATGTAAGGTGCAACACTCACTTGAATATTTTCACTTTAGGTCATGTTATACTTCTGCTTGACTGTATTTGACAGCTAGTGTTAGTAGATACTTTGCAAATTAATAAACTTTACATACAAAATATATAATGCCATTGATTAAACTACCCAGTTTTAACTGTTTATAAATTTTGACCAATTTTTATACCTCTAATATGTCTATTAGTCACTGAGTCAATCAGTAGACTGTTAATCTTGATAACTGATTCATTGGTTGGACAAAACAGACAATTATTAGATGTCACTTTGGGTTGTAGGACATCAGCAGCACTGTTTCAGTCATAGAGTCCTACATGTTCCTGGGCTCCACAATCTCCCGGGACTTGAAGTAGACAACCAAGATCAGCGCCCTCATTAAAAAGGCACAGCAGAGGAAGTACTTCCTGCGTCAGCTCAGGAAGTGATGAGCATGTTGCCTTTTTGCTGACTAATCAGTTAATCTATTCATCATGAGAAAACTATCAGCCAATTTGTCAATAAAGACAGTAACCATAGTTCCAGACGTCAGGTTTACCTGAACCAGGTACAACAGTAAAGTCATGCTTACACATTAATAGATCCATTAAAATAATCTAATAAAATATATTCATTTTTCTGCATTGAGTACTTTTATTTTTGATAATAATACTAATGTACTTTTATTTATGTAACATTATAAATGGAGTATTTTTACAGAGTGGTAATCGTATTGTCTAAGGTGATGTCTTCAAAATACTTCGACAGATCGACAGTAAAAACTCAAAAGTATTACATTTACTATCAGAGAATTCACTGAAAACTGGCAAATGTTCACATTTGAGAAGCTGAAACCAGTGAATGTTTGACATTTGTTTCTGTCAGTTGACTAATCATTGAAGCGCTGATCTAAATCTGTTTATTTATTTCCCTCCAATGTCTGTAAAACATGACTTGCAGCATTTGTGTTTATCACATTATTTCATGGGTTTATATCAGAGTTGATGGTTGTGTGTTTCTCCATAACCACAGGTACATGATGGCAGTCTAACCATCCTTGGCATCACTAGAGATGACAGAGGGGCGTATACGTGCAGAGCCTACAGTGACCAGGGAGAAGTGCTCCACACTACCCGTCTGTTGGTTCAAGGTACATGTAGTGCATCCATAAATAAAGCACACTCCAGCAAAGGCACTACAAATATGCACATTAGAAAGTGTTGTTGACAAACATATTTGTACAGATCACTAGATATGGAAAAAAAAAACTCATATTGCATTCATATCATTATGTGGTTACTCTTCATTATTTATACTAAGGCATTCATTGTAGTGCCATTTAAATGCAAAGCCAAGGGGTGTTCTGATGATTGTAACATACCTTCTGAATCTGTGTCAGTCAGCATTCATTGTAGTGCCATTTAAATGCAAAACCAAGGGGTGTACTGATGATTGTAATATACCTTCTGAATCTGTGTCAGTCAGTCAATAACTCAGTCTGGGGACAGTCTGTGTGTTTGCTCTTGTGCACAGTCATGTGTGTACAACCGGATCTGCCTGTGAGAATGTCACTGTCTATCTCCGGTCCATTAACTAGGCTGTCTCTGCTAGACACAGATCAGATAGATGCTTGTGATACCAGCCCTCAGTTCCCCTCAGTCCCCTGACACAGCAGAGCTGGGGGGAGTTCACGCTGTGTATTTAACAAGCAGTCGAACATTTTACTTTTATGGTTGAGTGAGCGTGAGGTCTATTTTAATGCTTTGCTTCTGTAGATGGACATGAATTACACTTCTCTTGGTTCCCAGTATAGTAAATATACACACACTGCAAACACACATTAAAAAAATCATTGTGTTGCAACCTAGTGAAGAGTACAACCAGTGGGTTATGTGATGCAAGTGCGTTAAGGCTGCAGGCCCCCACCAATAGCGCTACACACTGCAGCAGTGGTGGTGCAATGGTGAACCTCTTGCTTTCCATGCGGAGGCCTCTGTATAAACACAACATAATATGACCTGTCTGTTCAGCTTCTACACAGAGGGACACCTCACTGAACAAACCAGACTATACAGACAGAAGTGCACTTAAAACTACTATGTAGAATGTTTGTTGGCCTGGTTTCATCAGATACAAATTTGTTAACCCTCATAAGTATCAGTCAGTGGGTGGGTCTGGGTGTATTGGACCATTCATGGCACTATGGAGTATTAGTGGCAGTGCTAGTGGAAAAAAAATGAGAATTTGAGATGAAAATGTTTATATTATACAAGAAGGCTTTTCCTGTAATAAAAAAAGGGCATAGAAGATTTCTGCAGACCCCTCACACCCTGGACACAGAGTGGACAGTGCTACAGGTCACTGTATGCCAAAACAACCAGACGAGCGGACAGTTTCTTCCCCCTCTGATAACAGAATGACAACCCTCAGTGCAGTACTTTGTAAATATACTTTTGTATTAATCTATCTGAAAAATGACATCTAAACTGTGTATATTGTTTGAAGGCCACGGTATGCTAACCCCTGGACATAGGAACACAGCTCAACCTCTCACTCTAAGGTAGCATATTTGAAACATATTAAAGCTCAAAACACAGCATCAAATTCCTCATGTGTCCAACACACCTGGTCAGTAAAGCTCATCCTGATTCTGATTCTGAAATAACTTATATCTTCAATTATGAACTTCAACCCAACAGGGTGGAATTATCAGCTAATGTGCTCTGAAAGTAGCTGCTAACAACACTAGCGCTGTTACTTGCCTCATGCTGACTGCCCTCACAGCTAACTATGCTCTTTGCATTGGTTCAACAATGTGTCGCCTTTGCAACATTTCTATTTGCAAGGTCGGTGGTACTCCCTGCATAGGCTACCTGCATGTTCTGCACGCTGCATTATATATGGCTATAACATTCACCCTGTGACAAATGGCTGGAAATTCACATTTTGCCACACCAGAGAATAAAACCAGTTTAACATTTGATTGTGTGAGTAATTACATTTGATGCCATAAATAAAGTGTTTACATGGCCCTTGAAAGAAGCCACAGTTTAACTGTATGCATGCACATGCATGAGTCATAGGTGCCCTTCAACAAATAGCACTACACCTCTGGTCACAACAGACACAACAGCAAACATTGAAACACAGACACACATTTGATACAATCCTACTAATCAAAAGTAACTTAATAATGAAAGAAAAACCAAAAACTAAGTGAATATAAAGTAACTGCAGAAATTGCACCAAACAAACAACTAAATGAAAAAAACTAAAGTTAAGCCTCACTTATTTTGTGTTAAAATATTGTAGAAGAAGTGCCCTAGATTTTTCCCATTTGTACAAATCTTTCATGGCTGCCCTCCTGTAAAATACAACAGTATATGCCATTTGTGCCTCTGTGTCAATATGACAAAATGTTATGTGTCATAGTTTGGTGACTTCTTAATTATGACAGAAGGAATGGAGTAAGTATATGGAGACATAAAGTCTGTGTTGGGAGGGGAGGAGGTGGGGGTGGATGGCTAGGTACACACCACACAGGATTTTCCCCCAGGAGAGCCGAGTTCATTTCCAGTGTGTGGCTTGTGCCTTTCAAGTCTTTGTTCCTTATTGTAACAACACAGCTTTGTTCCTAAATTTGACCAAGCCCCCCCTCAACATAACCAAATGGTTGCTGTACCTAATCATAACCAAGTGTTTTATGTTGCAAAATGTATTGAAATGGTTTCATAATTATAGCGTCATATTTATGACACAGTTCCAGTAGCTAACTGCTATGTAGCCTGCTAGCAGCTTGATTTGATGAGACCATGTTGTAAGGTGTTTCTGTTATTTTGTCCACCCACAGAGTTCACAGAGCTCTCCCTTTCCTCCGTGTGTGAGTCTGAGGTTTGAATCTCAGCCTCTGCACTGTCACGTTATCATCAGAATCAATGAGCACAAACAGTGTAACATTTTACCTCATAAAACCATGTTAGTGTATGAAACACTTAAGTAGCTGAATGTAAAATTTTAGAGTGAGGTGTAATAGGAAAACCACAAAAGTAAGAAGAGGAAGATATGACTCATACCCACAGCAATAACAGCAGATATCTGAGGAGTCATGATTCTCGGTCTGGTGTTCTGTTTTTAATTGTTATGTGAGACACCTGCACACACAAGAGGTTTGCATCTGGGCCCACTCATAAAAGACAGGCTACGGTACCTTTCATGGCTTCTGCTGTTTTATTCGCAGTTAGGAGCAAACCTACAATACCTCAAAGGATAAAAAGTGCACAATGTAAAGAATACATAAGCTTCGCTGCTGACTATGGTTAAGGTTTCAGTGACTGACTGCTCACATCTTTATGCCAGACTCTGGTGATATATTGTCACTCTGAAAGAAAAAGAAGTTGCCATTCCTGAACTAGAAGCAGTGTTGGCCTGCACGTGGCTTCATACTAACACTTTTGATCTCTGTAAGAGTCTTCTCTACTGTTGATAGAAAGCACAGTTGTGACAGGCTTTTGGAAAATGGGATGCACTGCTGTACTTGTAAGAGTCTTCTCTACTGTTGATAGAAAACACAGTTGTGATAGGCTTTTGGAAAATGGGACACACTGCTGTACTCAGTTAAGGTCCAGGCATGTTTATCACACCTTTCAGCAGCAAGGCAGTTCAAAGTGCGTGACATAAGACATGCAGGCATGAAGACAAGACATAAAAGAAACAATATAAAGAGACAATAACTATGATGTAAAGTAGCCAAGTGCAATTGAAGCCAAAACTAGGATAATAATTCCAGTGCAAATTGTACAGGATATACTGCATGTTAGGTATCCAGAAAAGCTGGATACACATTTTTCTAATTATTAATTGTTGTCAATACAATAACAAATTGTGTTATATGTGCTGTATACTGTACATGTCTGTGTATCATTTGTTGAAGATTTTTTGATGTTTTAAGTAAAGATGAGCAGTGATCAGGTGAATTCAAAATGATATTTGATATTTGTTTTTATCCAAATTTAATCATGATACTGTAACTGTTGCCAGGTGAGTGTGATATAACTTCTGTCCAAACTATTTTCTGTATTTAGTTTTATGCCTGGTCCAGACTACATGATTTAAGCCTGATAACAGCCCTACACAAAGGTCAAAGGGAGTCTGAATCAACTAAAGGAGCCAGACATGACAATCGATTGTTTTATCTTGTATAGTGTTTCCTAGAGATGAATGCACTTCGGTCCAAACAGTACAAATCAGTCTCAGAACAACAGCAAAGGAGCTTGTAAAGACACAGGAGAAAACAGGTTCTAGAATCCTGTTTTGACATAACCTGGAAAGCTGCAACATGGCTTAAGGACAACAACAAAGTCAAGATACTGGAGTGGCCATCACAAAGGCCTGACGTCAAGCCAACAGAAAATTTGTGGGCAGAACTGAGTTAACCAATTTAAAAGCAATGCTACCGAATACTAATCGGGTGTATGTAAACCTCTGACCCACTGAGAAGGTGGTGAAAGGAGCAAAAGCTGATGTATGTAAACTTCTGACTTCAATTGTACAGTATATGAGTCTTTATATCTAGAATCACATTGCATTACAAGTATTTGTGTACTGCTTTGAATGCTAAACTGTAGTTACTGCCCAGAAGATGCACAACAAACTAAACCGCTTGTTTTTGTTCCTTTAGGGCCTCCATACATCGTCTCACCACCAGAAAACATCACTGTAAACATATCCCAGAATGCCCTCTTCACCTGTCAAGCAGAGGCGTATCCTGGCAACCTGACCTACACCTGGTTTTGGGAAGAGGATAACGTCTACTTCAAGAAGTAAAGTTATGATCAAGTTTACTTCTGTGCTGTAGCTGCAGTAATTCTCTCCGTATGGAAACATCTCAGTGTAGTACTGATACTGAAGTTAAGTCTTAAGGACCTCTTGCTTTGAGGCTCAGTCATTTAAATCACCACCACACAGGCTCCATAAGGATTAGATTGCAAAGCTTTTGTGATGTGAGTGACATAGTGTGTCTCTGAGTCCTTTGCCATGCTGTATTTTGAGCCACTGTCACTGTTGTATGTTAATATGTTTGCCCATGCCCTCCCTGCTGTGGGCCTAGAGGAGGTAAGAGTGAACCTGGCAGGGTCTGTCTGGAGCGTGCCAGACGAGTTGGTGCACTCTGATGTCAATATTTTATGACTCGGGCCTCGTGTCATCATACGTCCCTAAATGCAGTGATGATCTGCATCATAGCCAGGACCTCTGAGGGCTCCTCAGAGCAGGGCTTTACAGCGTGAGAGGGTTTCTACAGCGAATAGGCGACAGATAGAACATCTGGGATGAAGAACAGGTGAATGGGATTTTGACTGGCAGTGAAACCAGTGCCCGAGGGACTTTCACAGGGGGGGTGCACTGAAGTGTTCAATCTAATTTTAAACAGCTTCCTTTGTGTCAGTTGTTTGTTTGTCATTCAGGGTAGGTGAGATTTGCATAATATTCTGTTGGCGCCACTTCCTAATAAGTTATCATTTATAAAACATTTATCTAAGCTTTATAGATAAAAAATAATCTAAGGATCCAAGATATTACATGAGACTATACTGTGCTACTTAGATTTAGTTTGAGACGTACTGTATAGCGCTTGCATATGACAAATACTGCCTATATTTATACAGTATCCATCCATCCATCCATTATCTATAGATGCTTATTCCGGAATAGGGTCACGGGGTGCTTGGACCAATCCCAGCTGACACTGGGCGAGAGGCGGGGTCCACCCTGGACAGGTCGCAGTATATACACCACTATATTTTTTGATATGTATATTTTATTGATTTCCCATATAAAGAAGATCCACAACATTTCCAATACAAACTATTACAAATTATGAAATACGCAAATCATAACGAAAAATAAAGCTATAGATGATAAAGATATAGTTATAGATAAAATAAAACATGAATTTCCACTGAGGAATCAGATTAAATATCACAAATAAAACCATCTGTGGCAACAGTACAGTTATAAATGTTGTTAATCTATTATTAAATGATTAATTGATTAGAAAATCTATTAGATAACTAGTTTTGATTCAGGTTTTCCACATCCTTTTGTCATACAATTCAGTCAGCCAAAGAGATTTTTCAAAACCTGGCAACCCAAATGTCATAAATAATATCTAATTTGTTCAACGTGTGAAGTCATTAGGGGGCCTTAGTAGAAAGCCACACCACTTCAGGCAGATGTATTTGTATCTCTTGCTCTGTCCTGTTCTTTGGATCCCTCCCTGGCTGCTGTTTGACTCTCTGCTGCTCTCTTATGGCACCTTGATGTAATGTAGCAAAAATAAGAGGAACAAAGATGGGTGCCCCGTCCTGTTGGCATGTTTCAGCAACATGGTATGACAAAACGTCTGTGTCTTCTTGCAGTGATCTGAAGCTCCGAGTGCGCATCCTCATCGACGGCACCCTTATCATCTTCCGGGTTAAGCCGGAGGATGCTGGGAAATACACCTGCAGTCCGAGCAACAGCCTTGGCATCTCACCCTCAGCATCAGCCTACTTGACTGTTCAGTGTGAGTGTTACCGTGGCAACAAAGTGGAGGGGGAAGGGCAGGAGAACGTTGAATGAGGAGAAGGGAACAGCAGAAGCAGTATGGAGGCTGCTCGTGTTGGAGGCTGCTGGATTATTTGGCAGTGCTGCTCTGTTACTGTAATGCAAAGCAACCTTCTTGAATTTCAAGGTCACACACTACAGAGAGGGGGCGGCTTCCCCTCGTCATTTTGGCTGAGCCTCTTTGAACATTTTCATACTCTCAAAGGACTTTATTGATTGAATTATTATCTATTTAGACTCCAGCCTCATTCCTGTGCACAAAGATGGAGACTCCATTTTCCTGGGTCTCTTTTGAACCTGCCCCCACTACATGAAACGGTGACCTTCCTGTTAATCAGCTGAGAGAAATGTCACTCCTGGCTATCGGACGTTTCATCATCAGCCCTTGTGTTTTGAGCTAATTTGCTCCCAAGTTGCTGCTGGTCATTGATTACTGGGCTGCATAGTATGAGAGAGAGCTGTGGGATTCACAGCCCTGCAGGCACTGGTTTCATCACAGGCTTCAAACACAGCGGGCACAATGAAACCAGTGTCCCAGCTGCTTCATGCAAAACATACTCTGGGTCCATATTTATCAAGCATCACAGAATCACTGGTACCTCAGGGTAGGTCATTTACTTACGGCAAGAAACAGGACTAGCATTTGTTACATTCATAATGTTTATTTTGAGGATTCTCTCAAAATAAATGTTCTTTTAATTTAATTGAAATCATTTAAATAGATGGCTGAGAAAATTTGAAGAATAGCTACTGGCCACCTTTTCTACAAACTATCAGCTGCTCTAGTCACATCCATCGAAAAAGGACAAAGCCTGATGCTGAGTCTGCTTGGAACATTCATCTGAGACAGTGACAGTTTTATAGGTTTTATGTGTACAGGTAAATAACCTAGTTAACTTACCAAGCTTATATGAATACTATATATGTATATACACTCACACACTCACCGGCCACTTTATTAGGTACACCTGTACAATTGTACTTCAGTGCAAATATATATATACATATATACATACATACATACATACATACAACCACACAGTCATAGAAAGTAACTAAGTACATTTACTTAAGTACAAATTTGAGAGTATTTGTATTTTATTTGAGTACTTTCATTCTTTAGTACTTCAGACTTTGACTTTACTACATTTTAGGGACAAATGTACTTTTTACTCCACTACATTTATTTTATAACTTTAGTAACTAGTTACTTTTTATAACCATCTTAATACAAAAAATACAGTATAATTATCAGACCTCATTGATCAATAGTGTAAAATTCACAACTTACCCAGCAGTAATTCAAATTAAATGCTTGTAAGCTAGTTAACCTAGCTCCACCTTTACCAGCTGCAACATTAAATGTGACATACACAATAATACATCAGTATTTATAACACAATGATGTGATATACACGAATGTGAAATGTGCCATTCTGCGTAATGAGTACTGTTACTTTAATACTGTATATGTAGTATGTTTTTATGCTTTTGTACTTTTCCTTAAGTAAAGGATTTGAATACTTCATCCACCACTGTGTGTGTGTGTGTATCTATAGATACACACACACACACACTCAAATTTGCTATTTAGACTGTAAGTGAACACTGCTAACCCACTCACCTGGCATTAAAAATAAATCCATTCAGTAACATTTTCCTCCTACTTTATAATGTTTTATAAATCATTTAATAATCATCTATATGACCCTGTTGGCCCCATCCAATCACTTGTACAGCTTGTCACGGTGCCGCACCGCGTCTTGCACACGTTGGATGGATACATGCAGCTATGATATTGAAACCTTCGTCTCTTCTCTTCCACTAATGCCCCTTTCAACTACACCTCCTTTATGTTCCCTGAATGCAAGCACAAATTGTTACTTCTGTAATATAATGTCACCCAGACCAACAGCATTATATAGCTGTCAAATATTATAGCCATGTTATTGTTTGAAATAACAGTCAGGATGCAGATAACATAGTCCCTCTCACGGAGAGGTGCAAACAGGTGATCAAGGTTTGATTTATGGCAACTATTGTGGGTTCACACAGAGCCAACAAGTTGTACTTTGCACATTCCTGAATCATCTGATGTTTTAAATCTAATAACCGAGCACATGGGCGTTTTCTGCCATGATTTTTTTTTTCTTATAGATTATCAACATCATGTATCATGTATCTAACACTGGCCTCCCCTCTACATGCAGACCCTGCCCGAGTGATTAACATGCCCCCGGTCATCTATGTCCCACGGAAACTGCCAGGTATCATCCGCTGCCCAGTGGACGCCAACCCCCCTGTGACATCAGTGAAGTGGGAGAAAGACGGTTATCCTCTCAGAGTGGAGAAGGTCAGTCTGCTTCAGGACATCATTTACCTCCTTCATTAGTCAGCCACCTCTCTGGGTTAGAATATTCAATGTTATGTTGCCTTTAAATCTGTTTTTCATTGTTTTGGTTTGTTTTCCTGTAGTTCTAGTAGTAGTATGTGTCAGAGTAAAGCGTTTGAACATGTATCAGAATTATGTTACAGTATTTAATGCATCACTTTATATAGATGTGTCTGCTCTCACTCTCAGTACTGTAGATATTCTCAGACCTATGATAGATATATTATCATTTTAATAAAAACATAATGATCATTATGTTTTCAGATGTTTGTTTTTTTCATTTTCATTTGCAAGATTAAGATTTACACACACACACAAAATAAACTCACAAGTGGGCCCTGCAGCCCCAAGTGGCAGGGGCATCAAAATCTTTATTCACTTAGTCCAAACCTGTATTTTTGATCATTAGACCTTTTTGTTTTTAGCATTTATTATATTATGGGACTTCTAGACTGCTTTGAAATTAAGGTTTTTTTTGGATATTATTCTGTGTATTTCTTCAGGATTAGTTTTTTATTTTTTTCTTTTCAAAACAGCCACTGAAAACTTTAACCTATTAATACATATACAGTATCACATGTTCACCTAACATTTTATAATAGCAGCAGCTCGTGAAAGTTCTGCATCATTTTTCAGCAGGTGACAAAAGGTTAAAATAAAGCTTCTCATTTCCTGTCTCATTCTTACTCAAAGAATAGTTGTCCTGTGACCTTTGCAATTGTAAGAGTCTGCAGCGGTTAATACCTCAGACACAGTTTGTGAATCATTTCGGCATCACCCCGTCACAGTAAAGCAGTGTCATTATCAAACTTGTGTCCCTCTGCTCTGAGCTCTATGTGTTGCTCTGCTTTTCTGCCATCTTCTCTGCTGTCACTGAGGTCACAGTATTTTTACTCTGCTGATGAGCACAGGCTTGTGTTGTATATACATGCACTTCTCAGTAATCTGATTTAAATAGAGTTTTGAGGAATTTTATTTTTCTGTGCAGTTCAAAAACCTTTAGAAGGGACCCTGAAATTTCAGGAAAAGTTTTGCCATCAAGCATTTTTGATGTCCCCTTGTCTTGTAGTACCCCGGTTGGAGCCTGATGCCAGATGGAAGTATCCGGGTGGCGGAAGCCACAGAGGACTCCCTGGGCACCTACACCTGCGTGCCTTACAACGCCCTAGGTACCATGGGCATGTCCCCCCCTGCCACTTTGGTGCTAAAGGTACATTACCACTTGATAATGTCTGCAGCTCTGTTGCTGCATGTTTTAGCACAGATGGATCCAAACAGAGATCTGTATGATGTGTGTGTGTGTGTGTGTGTGTGTGTGCATTCATCAAGGATCCCCCTTACTTTAATGTGAGGCCTGGGGGGGAGTACCGTCAGGAGGCTGGGAGAGAGCTAGTAATCCCCTGTGCTGCTTCTGGAGACCCTGATATACCAACCATCACCTGGAGAAAGGTGCAGTAGGCAAACACATCACCATAACAGATCTCCTGACAGTAAATCATTTTCTGTTTTTCTGACTTTACCTGTCATGTTGCACAGCACTACTTAACCACGTTACTGTAATTTTCATGTCCACTGAAGGTTGGGAAGCCGAGCAGGAGTAAGCACAACATCCTACCCAGTGGCAGCTTACAGTTTGTGTCCCTCAGCAAGGAGGACCATGGAGAATGGGAGTGTGTAGCCACCAATGTGGTCACAAGCATCACTGCCAGCACGCGCATCCTAGTCATCGGTACAGACAGTCTGTACAGTGCTCTCAGCCTCTGACCTTTCATATTCACTGTTATTCCTTTAAAATCATAAGCTTGAAGAAGAAGTAAACCCCCCAATCTCTCCAAATCTTTGCTTCCACCCAATTTTTTTCCTTAGGCATTATTATTGATCTTATAATGATAGATAGATAGATAGATAGATAGATAGATAGATAGATAGATAGATAGATAGATAGATAGATTGAATTAACTAAATTAAAATTAGTCTGTGAAATGTGAGCGTGTCAGTAAGTCTGCCCCAGCAGCCCATTGCCCTGGTGCCTATGGAGTCGTTATACTGTCTTATACTGTTATATTGTCTACAGCTGGCGGTGTGTGACCAGCTCTCAGCAGGCAGGTGTCACAGGGCAGCACAGACAGCTGTGCCCCTCAGGCCATGCTCAGTTCCTTCCTTTGCCACCCTCCACAGCTGTTAGGTGGGTGGGATGAGCAGAGCCGCAGACTTCGTGCTGCTCTTGAACTTGACCTTACACTGGTCACTCTGCTCCTGAGCCAGCATCACGTTAGCTGCGAGATACACAATGCAACATGGCATTTCGGGGAATGAAAACAGCAATGAAATGCTCATTATTTGCATGATTTGACTTTAACTTCAATCAGTCATTAGGAATAAAATGTTGATACAATATAAATATGAAAAATGATGTCTGTAGTCTTAGTACTACCAAGTGATATTACGCGATAATTGGAGGTAGTTGTATATTTGATAAGTTAATTAGTACTTGTGCACTTTCAGTTTATTCCCACTCTCTTCGTCTGTCTCAGGCACCAGCCCACACGCTCCTGGGAATATCCATGTATTGCCCTCAACAACTTCTGCTAATGTGTCCTGGGAACCAGGTTACGATGGCGGCTTCGAACAGACGTTCTCTGTGTGGTACGGACCAGTGTGAGTGTTCTTAGTTTACTTCAAATCAGTGGTAGCAGTGTGCAGATTTGGAAACACTGCCTGGAGGCTATCTCCCTACTGTGACATACACTGGGAGCAGGGTGTGTTATCACTCCTGTCCCCTTCTGAAATTCAGTCAGAAGCTGGTCAGAAGAATTGTTTTGACTTCTGTTTTTTCTGGGTATTTAGTAGATACAGTGTGCGTATATTGGGCAAGTAGTAGGGAATCACAGCAGTAACATCCCAAACAGCAACAAGTACCTGCACATGATTAAATCACCTAAAGTAAGAAAGAAAGTGACATTTCTGGCTGTTTTGCCGCAGCTGTCTTATGTACAATAACATTTCACATGGAGCTGAAACCACAAATTTGTGAGCCAAAACCCTGTAATTACCCTGGTAAGAGATAATTATATGCTAAATACATTTCACATTACAGAGCCACACACATTATAGCCAGTGCCGGCAAGGTTACTTTGTAATAGGTTACAGATTACCGCTTACCGTGTTAAAAATGCAACAAGTAATGTAACTATTTTAATCACTTAATCAAAGTAATGTAACTTATTACTTTTGATTACTTTTCTAAAAAATGTTTTAAACTTGGCAATAAAACTGAAGAGTCCAAACATAAAATTAAAAAAGTTAGTGTAAACCTCACAACAGTACTCAACACTGATTATTGTCAAACGTAGTTTGTTTCTTCAACATAACTTCAGCTACACACTGTAGGGCTCCTGAAACATGTAGCCTAATGAACAGACACCAAGCAAAACCCCTTTGGTTGCTCGCCTTGGCTTTGCCAGCTGGTCGTAGTCCAGACTGCTTAGAGCAATGTGCGTTGATTTGATTGACAGAAGAGAGGAGGCGCAACGTCAAACGAGGGGACCAGTCAAAAACAGCATTCAAAATTTAACGCATGCTGCCAAATGTATTGTGGAAGTAAACACAACTAGGTAACAGTGACTTGAACTTTACATGGCTGCAGTGATAACAGACAGATATCTGGAATAGGTCATATGCACAAGAACTATGCTAGAAGCAGAGAGTGAATTTCATTTGCCCAAAGTTTTGCCTGTAAAGCTACAAGCAGGCGAGCACCTTCCCTGTAACTGGTGCGTGTTCACAGTTTACCTGCAGCCTACGAAGCAGATGCAGTCAAGACTTAAGGCTTCTTCGAATCCATTCGCACACATTGAAGTCTTTTTTTTATGTAGTATATTTTCCTAAATCAATGCTAAAATAGAACAGCATTCAACAATAAATGTGTTCTGTAGCATTTTATATTTTTTACATACAGTATTGCACTAGTATTAATTTGGAAAGCACTAATTAGTTGGTAAATCAAAATGTTCCCTTTTCAATGTGAAGCTGACCAATGTCGGCTACTTTTGATCAAACGATGCACATTTTAATTGATTCCTGTAACATTTTTGTGCACATTTATGGACATTTTAACATAATTGTTGACATTATCTTTGTGGTCCAGTCCACTTGTAACTTGAACAATAATTCACACCAACTTTGAATAAACATAGTATTATTTATAGTCAGTTTTTAAAAGGAAAAGAGGTAAATACACAATTAAAGACTTAATAAAACACACTAATGAAAAGACAGGCTAAAAAGGTTTTACACTTAAAGATATCAATACTTTCAGCTGCTGACTGTGCCAAGCACATCTGATCGTCTGACATCTGAGCATAGAGACTAAAAGCTGCCTCAGTAACAGGTTTTATCCTGCACTTTGGAACAGCTAAAAGAGTCCTGGTTCACATACTGCAAGCATGCCAGACAAGTGGGCTGAGACCATGAAGTGCTTTAGGGAAGTAAAAGAATTTAATCAGAAATGGAGAGGAGAAGATTTTGGTGAATGACCTGACTGTTATCTTAACTGCACATTTTCAGCTGCCGACAATACTGTCTTGTGACTAATTACAGTTAGAACATTATTCACCATTCTACAGTTTTACCCTGCAATGGTTCTATATATGATTTTCAGTTTTCTGTCTCTTTTCGGTTTGTAGGTCAAAGAGAATAGACTTCGGTCCTCATGACTGGCACTCAGTGCCAGTTTCTGGTGCTCAGACCTGGTTGGTGGTGCCAGGGCTGGAGCCTGGGACAGAGTACCAGTTCAGTGTGCTGGCACAAAACAAACTGGGCACAGGCCCATTCAGTGAAGTTGTGACAGTCCACACTGCAGGTGGGTACTGTAAAGTAAAGCTTTTTCATCCATGTTTGCCACTTCAGATTCAACCCACTGAGCTGCACTGAGGCAGTATTTAAACTTTCAGAATGATCATTAGAATTAGTATGGAATACTGCCCTCTAGTGATGTTTCAACTGATGTATACAAGGGCCTACACAGTATATTGAACTTAAAAAAAACTGCGCACACACCACATGCACAATGCTACATATACTGTATGTGTTAATATGGTGAACAAAACAACAGATGGTTCTCATTAGCAACATTTTGAATTGTCATGTCATAGGTGTAACTAATGCCATTAATGATGGCACTGTGCCATTTAGGTGTGCCAGTAAGACAAGCACATACAGAGGCATTATTAATGCTATTAGTTCTGCCTGTGATTGACGAGTCAGTGTGCTTACTGTGAGAAAGATGTAGTAGTGAGTGGGGTGTCAGTCAGATGGAAGGTAACTGCTGTTTAATGTGTATTTTTGAAGTACAAAAACCAGATTTGTGTCATTTATATTCTTCTGTGTTTCAGTCCAAATCATGCCTGAAGGGCATGCCGCCTGAACACAAACTGAATTAAACGTTTATGGCATTTAAAATCAATGCCTCAGCAAAAAAAAATGCATGAAGGGAGAAAAGTACGAGACTGGATTTTCCACCATACCAGTGGAAAGGACAGAGAAGGGAAGGTTTTGGATGAGGAAATGCATAAATCAAGGCACACCCAAAGTCTGTACAAAACGGCAGACGTTAAACAAGAAACAGCAGTGATACCACGGACAAACCCGTGTTGCCACACTATGACATTCAGTGAAGAAAGTCATGTCAGGTTGTAACACATTTCCTTACATGGAAATCACCGCATTAAGTGACCTATTTACCAGTCAGGTGTTACATATAAAAACGCCATGATTTTTTTTTCAATCAAGAGAATCAGTAGAACCAACCCTAAAACTGGGGATTTTGAAAAACATGCATGAACGCATGAGTTCAGTTTTTATGCATTTTAGGCATTATGTTTTCGGGTTGTCATCCTAATCTTGTGAACGTGATGTCTAAAGAATGCCATGAGGGAATTTCTTCAAATTTGGCACAAAAGTCCACTTGGACTCAAGGACGAACGGATTAGATTTTGGTGGTCAAAGGTCAAGGTCAGTGACCTTGTGAGTCCTATTCCCATGATTTTGACTGGTTGCTGGAGGCATACAACTGCAAAGCGGTAATTCAGGTTTATTATTGTGTCATGCACAACTATGCCAAGTCAACACAGGCTTACAACACACCTAAATTCATACAGGACAGGCCCAGAGTATACAGTTCCAAACAATAATAAAGTCCAAAAATGGAGAAGCAACAATCAAATCTTCAGACCACCACTGTGTACAACTGAATTCGTAGATTACTGACCTGTTGTCTCACTATTATTAAATCACAGCATTTTGTAACTTCCATCACTTCGTCATCACATCTACTGTGGGGTACTATGATGATGATGATGATGATGATTATTCAAATACATTTTTTCAACATGAATCAAACATCAACTACCCACAACGACTTCACCCATCACCCATAGTCTGATTACTTATACAACATTTTTTCCTTTTTATGTGAAATACTGTATATAAGATAAGTGGTATATTTGATTTGGTAAATTGGAAGTTAGATTTTTAATAAATGGGTACATCACAGGGCAGCTTTGAGACTCAGGATTAGGTCTACCTCATGTATCATTAATACATCACAGTTAAATCTCCCCTACTCATTTGTGACAAATGTACTATATTGTAATATATGTAATATATTGCATATTCACGGAGCTAACCACTCTAACTCCCCAGTGCATATGATACATTTCAAGCTGAGTCACTCAGTGCAGCTTTCATATGATAGTACTTGCAGTAAATAATGGTTTATGAAAAGAATTACCAACTTATTTTTGCTACACTCAACACTGTTTGTAAAACCACTACATCCATTCAGTTTTTAGCCATGCTAGTGGCATAGCAGTAGTGAATCCAGTTTTGGTCTGTTGGTACACATTGAAATATCTCAACAACTACTGGATGGATTGCTGTGAAATTTCACACACAAATGTGTATTCCCTGAGAAATCTTACTGACTTTGCCTTTTCCCTGACTTTTCCTCATTTTTCACTTTTCCAGTGAAATATCTCAGCATCTAATGGAATTGCACAACATTTGGTCCCGATGTTCACTGTGCCCAGTTTATGTATTTAATTTCATTGAATTTGGCACTACAGATGTTCTGGGGCACCGCTACAGGACCTCTGTAGCACCACCCTGACATTTGTGGTTTTAGATGAAATGCCTTGACAGCTACCACATGGACTGCCCTCGCGCTTGGAAATGTACATACCCCTCAGGATGATTTGTAATAGCTGTGGTGATTCTTTAACGAACACCATCATCAGGTGACCAAATACTTGCAAATCTAAAACCACCCTGAATTAAAATAGTAATTATAGTAAGGATTACGTTTGTTTGGCATCAGTATGTTAGCATTGTCATTTAGAGCAAGCTGAAGTTGCATTTAGCTCAGAGCATCGCTGTGCTGCCTAACAGAACTGCTTGCCTGACTGTAGAATCCTATCTCGTCTTGCCAACCACACAGGTTACACAGAGGGTTTCACTGTTAAATATCATTCAGGATTTTTGTCATTTTTTACGTATCTGGGTAACGTCTGAGCTTGTTTACTCTGTGCTTGCTTTTTAATGTGCAAAACTACTGGTCCACAGGCTCTCCTCTGGGTACCCCAGAACCACTGGTGCTTCTTACTCCACCACGGTGCCTCACAGCCAACCGCACGCAGCATGGTGTCCTCCTCACATGGCTCCCTCCAGCCAACCACTCTTCACCCATCGACCGATACATCGCGGAGTTCCGCCTCGGGGAGAGGTGGGAGGTGCTGGATGACCTGATCCCATCCACTGAGACTGAGCTCATAGCCCGAGACCTTGTTCAGGTTGGCTTACATTACACATTTTGATATGGGAACACAAGTTTGTGTGAGGTTCTTTGGCTTCATACTTTTATTTCTTTGACTATTATGTGGCACAGGGGCCATATTGAAATTGACTGAAATCCTTTGTTCATGGTGCCAAACTGGAAGTATATAATATATTTGAAAATAAGACTGTTTTTAATGTTTTGTTTCTATATAGTCCACATCTTAATCAAAAGCAACTGGTCTTAGAGAACTGACATTACTATTAAGACTATTCTATTCAAAAACTAATTTCTAATTTTAAGCCTTTTGGTATTTTATTGCATTTTATTCATTCAAGTGTAGGTTGCAGTTGGCTTGAATTTAAAAAGGTAATTTTTAGTACTTAAATAAATAAAACTAGAAACAAATCAGACAGCTGCAAATCATAATTCTTAATATCATGTTAAAAAAAGGGCTTTGAACATGAAGTGCAGGGCGATACATTTATTCTTAAGGAGGGTGCGTCTGGCATGTCTCTCTGACAGGAATCCTGGTATGAGTTTCGAGTGATGGCTGTTATGGATGACCTGATCAGTGAGAGCAGCAACGTAGTGGGAGTGTCTAGTACAGGTCAGTTTCTCCTATGAAAAGCTCTACTACACATGGAAATGAGTAGCCTTTGTGAGAAATAGATTTGCTTTGTAACCTTTTTGCTTACTTTTCTTTGGAATTTCTCCCTTTTACCCCTCTGCCCTATCAGATCCTTTCCCTCCTGCAGAGTTGCCTGATGAGGGGCTGGCGCGGTGCCGCGGCCTGGGTTGGCGGGTTTCTTAGCCACTATTTGTTTTCTGGCAGCAGCAGTACTGTTCAGCACTCTAGCAGCTTGCTTTGTTAATAAGCAACACCGCCGCAAACTCAAGCGTAAACCAGGTCGGTCTCCCCTTTACTTACTTGCGATATATTAAGCTGTATACAGATGATTACTGAATATACCTACCAAACACAAGCATGTTTGAAGTGATTGTTTGCATGTCAATTAAAAGTGACATAAAACAAGATGCCAAAGAGATAGAAAATGTCCACAGAGTGACACAGTATGACTAAAAAGATATAAAATGACCATCAGAAACAAAATGAGTATAAAGAGACACTCAATTTGACTACAGAGATATAAAATGACCATGAAGAAACGCCAAACAACTACATCTAGAAATAGACAGTAAATGGTTACAACGAAACTGAAAACTACTACAGAAAGCTATAAAAATAACTAGAAAGAGACAAAATGGCCACAAGTACATGCAAACAGATATGTCACACCCCAAACTGATGCAAAATAACTAAAAAGGCACACAAAAAGAACACAAAAACACTGCAGATACAGAACTACAAAGAGAGTCAAAACATCTACAAATAGACAAAAAAGGCTCAAAGCGACTACAAAGAGATACAAAAGGAACACAAAAACACTCAGTGACAACAGAGAAACACACAACTCTGAACGATGCAGCGCATGTGTGGGCAGTGGGGGCCCTGATCTGGACTGTACCCAGGGGCCTGTTGTCTTATAATCCATTCCTTTTTGATTCTATTCATGATGTTCAACAGAAGAAATGCTATAATGAAATGTTTCTGTCCTCTCAGATCCTCCCTTGTCGGTGACACACTTCAGGAAAAGCATCGAGTCACCGTAAGTAAAGCCAGTGCCAGAGCACCTGCAGTCTTCCAGAGGTGGCTACTACTGTGCATATTTTTTGTGCCTTTTACAAAATGCATGCTGTGACAAGGCATACAAGATATTGTAACAATGCAGAATAGAAAAACCTACAAAAAGCAATGTGTACCAATCTTTTTAGTGAAACTGCATATTACACAATGCATGCATTCCCCTCTGCTTTCACATATGATATAGCAAGAGGCAGTAACTGTATATTTGTCAAGAAATGCAAAACAAATGAGCATGCAGAAGAAGCAACCCAGTAGATAATAAAAACAGTGATTATATGTTGAAGCTTTTCTGGACGGTGTGGAAGAACATGTACAGTAGCAACCTCTAGCAGATCACATGTAGATTAAGGACAATTCACCGCATTCAAGTCAGCATTTTAAGTACATTACCTAGAGTGCCCATGTTGCACTATGTGTATTGATTTCTGATCCATCTGTATCTTTTAATCTCAAGCGCTGTTCGCTTTCTGCATGATTCTTGGTGTTTAATAATGCTGTTTTTTTCTGTTTGTTTAGCTACACATTTAATGTACAGTATCAGCTAACCATGTGTATTTGTCTGTCTGTGTGTAAGACTTGTGTACAATAATCTGTGTAAATCCCATTCCAGAGTAAAGATCACTTCCAGTACACCTTTGTCTTTTTTATTAAACACACCAGCCAGGTCAGGGAGTTCATACTGAGTCCCTCCTGCTAGTGGCATAGTTAAAGAACCAGGCCTATGTCGTTTGTCTCCCAACGCAGGCCTCCTCTCACCCCCTTGCCAGGGGTAGAGCCCTGCTGGGACGAGCCTGCCAGGAGCAGTTTCTTGCCCCCGCCCGCCAGCCCCCTGTGAGTGCCTGCCTGCACCAAAATTCAGTGTGCTGCACTGCACTGGCTTGGCTGCATGGTTAATGCATTGCATAGAAATGATCAACTGACAGTGACTGTTGGTTATAGTGAAGCCTGCCACTGGCTTTATTGCATGCACAGACCTTCACACACCACAGGGATTAAATTGCATTAGCTCAGATGCATGTACAGTACTATACTGTGTATATGCACTCTTTATAACGTTTGTCTACCTGATGCATTTATTGGCCTAGAACGTGTCGACTATGCTGCTCCTGGTGTGGGCAAATGAGGCCTGGTTAGAGGTCATCTGCTTTCCTCACATCGCCATTTGGTGCAGCATAAGGAAATAGGCCTCACTTCTGTCCAAAATGATTCAGTAGATCCGTTGTCATGGTTGCGCCATTTGTTCTCCTCTCATCCTGTCATTCTAGCTTGGTTCATTAGCTGCTGTCCTATCAAGATGCTGTTGCTGCCATAAACTGGTCATCATCATAATGTTATTTGTTACGGCTTCCTTGACAGAGGGCTTTTCTTTGTATGGTGTCTTCTGTTTAGTTAAATTATCTGTTCACAGTGTCAGAGATTGTTCTTTTGCTTTAAAATTGTTTACTCGTCTTCCCCTTTGGTTTTCCTGTGGTATGAGGCATGATAAATTAAGAATGCCTTGTGTCTGCATTTTTATCAGGTTATCGTCGGGGAAAATAAGTCCAGAGAGTTCCCCTCCATCTCGGCCCCGCTCTCTTTCTTCAGAGGGTTCCCATGGTCTGGGCCTGTACGTCAGGAAGCTGCCCAGCCCTCAGAGAGAGAAAGACAAAGAGCTCTCCTTCTACAAGAAAACCAAGCGTGCCATAGCCAGCAAGAAATACAGTGTATCTAAGCATGAGGCAGAGGTCACCACACCTATTGAGCTGATAAGCCGTGGCCCTGATGGCCGTTTTGTCATGGAGAGCAGCCCACCACCCCGCCGCATCCAGGGCTTTCCCTTTGCGGAGGAGTCCGACATGTACCCTGAGTTCCGGCAGTCTGATGAGGAGAATGATTTTGACCCTGGGCCCCTACCGCCCATCATGCCCACGCTGCGGCCCCAGCTCTCCCCAACGTCCTCCAGCCTGGAATCAACGCAGCCCCCCACCTACAGCCCCCGCCTACACAGGGCCATGGAAGGTATGAGCTTTGCAGAGGGCAGTGCACTTCATGCCTCAGGGCAGGCCCCGACCTCCCGCTACAGGGGCTTTCCACAGGGCCCGTTTTATGGGTATCTAGGCAGCCGTGCTGAATCAGGGATTCCACCACCATTCTACATGCCTGACATCAGCCCGCGTAGTTCCGCTCTGTCCTCCCCCCCAGGCACTGCTGAGGGGCCTTTTGGTTACCCCTCCATCCCCGAGGAGAGTGGAGAGATGGAGCACCATCAGTACACTGCCTCTGGCCACTCTCTGTCTCACACACACAGCCCTCCTCCTCGCTCACCTGAAAGCTGGCAGCCTCATGAGCTACCCTTCCTTGGTCTAGAGGGTCCACGGTTTATATACCCACCTCACCATCCTTTACATCATCCCCAGGATCTCCCTGACCCACCCCCATACGCTCCTCACTCTCTACCCCCCAGTCGCTTGCACCTCCCTCCCCTAAAGGATCCAACAAGCCCTGGACTCCTGCAGCTGGAGGTCCCTGTGGCTCCCCCAGGCAGAGACAGGCCCCCGGGGCCTCCGGTTAGGCGTTTAGCTATGCAACAGGCCCAAAGTCTTGGCCAGCTCAGACACACGGCCCACGGTGTGGGTGTACCAGTGTTGCCTTACCCTGACCCGGCGGCCCGTGCAGGGAGCCCAAGCACAGCCCCCAGTAGTAGCCCTCAGTCCTGGCTCAGCCCAAGGGCAGGGCGCCGGGCGGATCCCAGCCTACCCCCACTAGTTCTCCAGCCTTCCCGCCTCTCTCCACTTTCTCAAAGCCCCCTTAGCACCCAGCCAGGTTCTCCAGATATTCTAGTCCGGCCTCCCCCACGCCCCAGCATCCTCCGCACCTCTCGGTCTCTGGAGATGCCTGAGATCACCCTGCAGCCCTCTGCCACTGTCAGTTTCTCCCGGAGGTCCTCCCTGACCACCTCTCCCACTCAGAGCCAGGGTGCCAAGCAACCAAGCCCCAGTTACCACGCCCACATGTCCTATGCCTCCACTGCAGCCAGTTACCCGTCCCAGTCTCCCTCTCCCCCTCCAGAGGGCAGGGATGTTTTCGGGCAGAGGCCACCCCAGAGAAGGACAGAGGAGGAGATGCTACCCTCAGAGCCCTCCCAGCTCCAGATATCAGCCTCAGGGTAGGTGATCATTCCAGTAGAGAATAGTCACATATTTAATTGAAGAGGAGACTTGTCTCCTTGTCTGCTCTCTATTTTAAATTTCCTCAGTATTTATCCACAGTTTTACTTTGATGTTTCAATTTAGAGACACTTAAGATGCATATTGTACTTTAATATGCAGAAGGCATGTAATTGCATTTAGCACAGTTTATCAGTTCAAAAACTCTAAACTTTGACAATATAATGACATGATAACTCAATTTGACCATGTAGTTTAGTTTTTATTATTTATACTAATCAAACATTGATCTTAATGTGAGTTGAAGTCAACTTTAAAATAACTAGCAAAAGTTTTTAATGCTTTAAACATTTGCTGTATATTTGATACATTTTTAGATTCATGCTGTTATTAAGAAGGTACCACGTTCCGATAAGTCATCATTTATAAAGCATTATAAGCTGTAACTAATGCCTTTATTTATTTTTATGTGCTGCTTCAGTTACTCTGTTATTTCTATTTGAACTACAATATATTGGAGTTAGGGACAATCATTCCTAATTTCTATTTAGTACTATAATTTCCTACTGTCAAATTGTGCATCTAGTCTGTTGTGTGTGTCTTCACTATGTGCACCAGCTCTGGGTTTTGTGGTTTATTATAGCCGATGCCTGTCCCTCAGGATGTTAAACCTTTGTCACTGTCCTGATGGATTCTGGGAACTGTGCCCTACATTACACTGTTTACTATGAGTGAAGGCTATATGAGCTGTCTTGCTACATATTTTATATTGAATTCTACAAGATTTTATTTCTGGTAATTGTTCACTTTTAAACAGACTATCAGGTTCCCCGGAGGTTTTATACATGATATGACTTGTTTCATTCTATAAGTTCTGAACATCAGCTTATGGAATAAAGTCTGTGCCGAAATGTCGGCAAAGTGCTCCAGTCTCTTTGCGAGTAGTTTTGCTTGTTTGCTGCCTACCTGTCTGCTGTCCTGAACCAGTTAGCTACACAATGAACACCTAAAAAAACAAATCACGTTTTGTGCTACAGGATAAAAACCCAGTCATAACCAGGCCGGTATTTAAGTACTTGTAAATGTCCTTCAAATTATTAGCAGGTTATTTATCAGCCATTAACTTTAACTATTTTAAGTTAGTTACAACTTATAAAACCTTTATAAACTGTGCCTTATTCAAAAGTGGTACCCATAAAGATAAAAAAGTATAAGCCAGTTTTCAGTGTTCATTCTATGATCAGGTTTCCCTATGAGTGATAGATCAGTGTCTCTGTATACGATTGTCATACATAACATAGGGTTTTTTAAATATAAAAATATATATAAAATATAGCTGAGGCTCACAGACATTTATGGCCGTAGTATTTTTCCACTGAACGCACTCCTGGTCCCCCTCACAACTACCTCACAACTCTAGAAGCTACAGTCATACAGTAGCTAAAGCCATGAGGCAGGAACTTGCTCCTGCACTATCACTGGCCTTTAAGGGAAAGTAGCTTATAGGGCTGCTGCTTTATAGAGGGTAAGGGTCTTACCTGATTTGTTTTTGATTGATCTCAGCTATCTGGGCAGCGTTGTTGTGACCCGGTCCCCTACGCCGCAATAGGTAAGGGTCGGACCCATGTCTGAGAGGGGAGGGGTCAGCAGGGGGAGGGCTCTAATCACTCTCTCCTTTAAAGGGGAATCGCTTTGGGTTGTGCCTCTGTGCTGGATTCAAGTGACGTACAACTAATGGTAATAATGACTGTAGGACACATTTGTCAATACAGTTCCAAGGCACAGGAAGCCTGCTGTGGTTGTGGGCTACAGTAATTAAGCTAAGCACAAGGAGCAGTTTTAGACTGTGGAGAAGCATTTTCATTGTTTGAATACGGAAAAAGAAAACCTTGAATCAATAAAGGACGCACATGAATGATAGACTGGAGTATTCCCCTTTAAAGTTTTGTTCCATGTGCAAAATGCCATGCATGCATTCTCTAAACTTCTCTCTACGACCAAACAAATAACAACAATTCTCAAACTAAATTCTTTGTCACATTTGTCGTCCTAAGTGCTTTCGTTTTTCTGTCATGTGACTGTTTTTAATGGCCATTACCTCTTCCTGTCATGTGACTTGTTCTTTAACGGCCATTTCCTCTTCCTGCCATCTCCTCCCGTCAGCATGGTGAAGCCTCTGTAAGCAGTGTTCATGTTTATGAAAGTGTGCTGTACAGTGTTTATGTCTATGGAAATGTACTACTATCTTTAAACCCACTGTGGCCTCTGCTCACAGTTCACGTGATAATGGACGTGTCCTCTAACTGTCCAGGACTGTTGCATTGCTCTGATTTGTCTCCCTCTCTCTGCTAATGCCTCTCACTCTCTCTCTTCACAGTGACAGATGATGGACAGCGTCTCTAAAGCTTTGTGTTCCTATGCCTTTTGAAACAATATCTGTTTGGCACAGCAACCTGACTTAATGAGAGCATTAATTCAGGTTTTGAAGCTGTTTGTATTCAGTTCTTTGAAAGGCAAAGACGTTAAGCTTGAACATAAATGTTGAGTCTGTGAGGTGATTTGGACTTTATTTAATTTTATTGCATCTTTCTATGAGAGATGGACAACAAAACCGGTGTTCGGTATGAGGTAAAACTACTCCTAAAGCAAACTGCATACTATGAAAGTGAAGAGACTTTGATGTGATTGTTTAGCTGATTAAAGTGATTATTTTTCATTCAACTTAGCATGTATCACTCATGAAATGAAAATAGTTGTTCAGATTTCAGAATGACATCCCTGTTCATTTTCTATTTTAAAAGACATTTGCACATATTCTGCATTTTCATGTCAGAGAAATGCTCTCGCTCCTACTGTAGGGGTCGGTAACCTTATCTGTGATCAGAGTTCGTTTATGAAGACGGAGACAACCAGTGTGCCAGTGACATTTGTTAATGCACATATCACTTATTTATTCAAGCACTGATACTTACACTGTTACAGTGAAGCTTGGCTTTGTCTGAAATACTAATACTAGAGTTTTACATGTTATTGGCCCACCCTCTCTATCTCTGTTACACAGTCACAAACAAAATTATGTTGTGATGTTGCCTGCTAACAATTACAATAAAATATAAGCTGGGCTTACTCATTACTGCGATCCCTGCCTTTCACTGCTCTGGTGCACTGTGTCTGGTTTTTAGTGATTTCAGTATTTTAGTAATGCACCTCTCAACAGACACACTCTGCAGTCCATCAGACTAATGTAACATATAAACAAAGCAGTGATATAATGCACATGTCAGTGTTCTGATTTGCGACATGTCACTGAAAATGCCTGTGTGTGATAGGCTGCCGACCCCTGGCTACTGTGACCTAAAAATGATTTATTGGAGCATTTAAAAACCATAAGACTTTATTGTTACAGGAACACTAATTGTACAGTTCCAGAAATTATTTTCATTTGATGAGTTTCATACAGCAAAAAGACAAATATACATTTCTGAAGCAGTCACTATTTTAGAGACCCAAACCTGAAGGTTTCCATTTTAGCACTGATGCTAAGATAATGTCCCTAATTTTTTATTATAATATAGGACTAAGAATTGGCAGATTAAGTGATTTTGTATCACTAACAAATGCCTTTTAAGAGTAAATATGTGGTCTGTATTACCATACTTGTAAATAAATCTTGGGCTGGGTCTTTAATATAATGTTTGTTTGAGAATTAAACTATAGCCAATAATTCCACCAATCCACTGCCATATGTCAACTATTCTTTCTTTCTGTTTCTCTTTCTTTGTGTCTAACTTTTATCATCCATCAATGCAGATAGAAAGTGGAAATTCATCATTTTAGTGAAAGGACTCAGTAGAAGTACAAGAGCTCATCAAATCATACTGTATGACTGGGAATAGCAGCCAAAGTTTTTTCAGTCTGAGACAGGACTGAACACGATTCTGGATTAATGCGGAACACCGCACTGTGCTGTCTCTCCTCTTCTTAGGGAGCCTCTAGGTGCGTCTAGTGATCCTGCCGGGTCTGAGAGCTTACCAGCACTGTTACACCACCGCATTACTAAAGCCAAGGGAGTGGCTGCCAACAACAATAACAACGCAACCTCCGGAAGGAGAACAGGTCAGACTGATAATTAGAGAAGAGAGAAAGAAAAAAATTATCTTCGGTTATCTGGGTGGTGTGTTACTTCTGTGCTTCTGTCTGCCTCGCTCTCAGGTGTGTCTCCCTCTCAGACCCAGCAGCAATCACAGACACCACAAGAGGGCGAGGATCTCAACTACCACAGAAAGAGGAACAGGCAAAACAAGAAGAACCCCTATTTCTATTTGATCTCCTTCCTGCGTTGCAGGCAGTCTGAGGAGGACCAGACCGGCATTCTGGCCAGTGCAGACTCTGAGGTCCCAAATTATGGAACTCTCCGCTGACCCATGTGCCCACCAAGCCATTGGACTCGACTAAACTAACCTCCTCTTAAAAAAAAAAACCACAGCAACCACAACAACACCTCAGCACTCCCTACTCCATCCCAGTCTCTGTATCAAGCTAATACATTTATAATCTCTGAAAGTTAATCGGCGTTTGGGGAGCAGGAGACATCAAGCTGACTACTTTGGGGTTGGAAAATCTTATTTGAAGACAAAGGACAATGGCTTTTCTGAGTTGTCACCACTAGTCGTCTCTGAGGGATTTCACTGGAAAATGCTCTGTATGATTTATATAAATAGTAAAACAAGGGAATTAAGCTTCCTCCTACAGTAATAAAAATGTGTTGGTGGAGTATGTCACAACACGTTAAAGATTTTTTTACTCACTAGTCACTGAGGGGTCCATATCTTTAGGTTTTTCAGTGATACAGCATACTGTTAAGCCTGGTGCGTCCTCGGTCAAGGACATGAGTCTACCTTTCCTACAATACAAATAGTGTCAGTATTTAAACACAGGGTTCTTACCACAGAAGATACCTCAGAGTCAAAGCAGAGTTCCTGTAATTCTTGCGGTATACTGTACGTACTTGACCTTTTTACATATGAAGCGTTATGGGTAGAAAGGTCTATATCACACACCACAATCATTCGAATGCATAATACGGCCTCACTTTCTCTAATTTAGGAGCTTTTTATGATCAGTAATAGCTGGCATGTTGTGTTTAGTTTGACTTACAATGCCAACCGTTAGAGGTCTTAATTTTAGTGCTCAATGGCTCATTGTGTTTACACTTCCCACTACAGCACAGCATCAGGACAAGATCACAGCCTTGATGAGAATAATTTGGGACTTGTGGGGTTTGAAGAACAGGGTGATGAATTGTGAAGTGTACTGTCATAAGAAATCATTTGTGAAATGTGGCACGCCTCATGTCGAGGTGCCTTTTTGCCTTCTTCTCTATTAGTTTTTTCTAACATAGACTGAATTGTCTCATACTTGTCTATTTTTTGGTGGGGGGGGGGCTCCAGTATTATGTGTATTTTTACTTTCTCTGCCAAGGACACATGAGAGAAAATGCTACAGAGGATGCGTAATGTTTGTATTATTTATTTTTTTAATGGGTACCTGCTTCAACCGTGTATATCTCAGTAATAGAGCAGAACCAGAATACCCGTAAAAATAAAAAGTACAAACGATTTGATTTTAGAATAAGCAAATAAATCAATAAATATAACTTCAGTGGAAAAGTACAGAAGCACTGTATACAGATTTTCATACAGGAGGAACCAAGCAGATGATAGAGGAGATTGTGATTGCTTTAAAAATTTAAATGAATTAAATTATGATAGCTGTGAAAAATCCAACAGGAAATTTCCCCACTATGGCCACCCTGACTGTTTATCTTCAATAACTGTATATTACTGGCTAGCTACTTCTCTGTACATTTGTTCATTTTTCGAAACTAACCGATAATGAATGTATGTTTTGCTGTATAGGAAATGAATGTGCCGAAGTCACAGTATTTTGAATGACCCATTGCATTGTTTATAGAGCAGCTGTGATTGGTGAGATGACCAGTGGGCACATTAAGTCCGCCGTCTTTTAGTTCTCTGTGTTCTTCCTGTATGTGGCACCAGCTTATGGGCCCCACACAGGTTCTCAGCTGAGCTCCCTTTGCTCTGACAGCTACAAAAATAACTGCTTTCCTTTTACTCCTAAAGCTAGCTCAGTCGCTCAGACACCTTTCCTACAGACTTTCATCTGCTACCAACAAATCAGAGGTTTTCTGACAAATATCCAATATAATGCATCGACTTGGCGTCTGCTCACTGAAATCTCAAACTCTTTTGACAGGTGAGAAAGTGATGATTGCCTGATAGTGAGCGTTTGCTTTAACAAATTGGTTTCATGTAAGATATGTGGAAAAAACTCTATATTTGTTATGTACAGTACATGTTGAGTATTGCATTTGTAAAGAGAAGACAAACCATGTTTTGGAGGGCGACCTTCCTGTATGGGGATGTACAGTATGAAACGATGGGTAGGAACCCAAGATAAAATTAGATTATATCTAAAAGTATTTGCTTACAGTACGGCTTTAAGTGGATAATGTTTTTAAAACAATTTAAGGTGCCTCATTTGTCATACTTTAGCAGACATTATTTTACTTGAGAAGAAAAGAACCCTTAATGTTAGAACCACACAATGTATTATTGCGAAAGCCCGCTGGCTGCACAAGATGAGTAGTATTTTCTCTGATGTATAGTATGTGAATGCCCACTGGAAAAAGCTTTAGAAGCAGAAGTGTGTTGCCCTCTATAATATATCCAAAACAAAGTACTACTGTATTTTGCCCGTTCATGAGCACACGTGTAGATTTACTCCCGATCTCTTGACCTTCAGGAGTCCAAAGCAAATACACTGACGGAAACGTTTTTCTAAGACACAGACATGCTATAGTCCTGTACACTACGTGCTGTGGAGGAAATTGTGTTTACATTAGTTTGATAAAGACAAGTGTGTTAGGGCATAGTTGCTTTGAACATTACGACTTGGTGCTACGTTTAACTTTGTGGTGCTGTAGAATAGAGGTCTAAAGATTTTTTTCATTTTCTGTTTCCACAAGCAACTCTTTTGGCCCTGCGTGTTTGAGCAATTAACTAGCTAACAGTATCATGGTGTGATGACAGTGATAGACAATACTGGAAAATAGTAGTATAACTTCAAATAATAGAGACTTGTGACATTCAGATGAAGTCAAGATGACCTGTTTTCTATAGTGTGTTTGCAATGTCTGTCTGTGCTTCCAAGGTACCCTCTCTAAAGTATATTTGTGATGATGTTGAGAAAATGAACCCAGCCTAAAAGGAGAAATGTAACCTGATTTAGATGAATATACACCGCAGGACACACGGGAGGGAATCGTCAGGTCACAATCACTGGATCTTTTTCTACACACTTCCTGTAGGTCTACAATCTTTGGTTGACAGCACTGTTTTTTCAAGCACACTACTGCAGGGGCGTAACCGTCTCACGCCGTCCCACCACCATTCTGACGGTAGAATTAGTACTGTACACTATAGCCACGAGTAGTCACCAGACCTTGTTTGTATTTACAGCTGGTTCTCCTGGTTGAAAGCTATTGGGAAAGCTCATACATCCTCTCCATGGGTTTTACGAATGGATGTCTTCCGGGCTCTTTTTTTGCATATTAAACAGAACCATGTACAGTGTTTAAGAGGGCTGCTTTGGACGTACTGTTAGCTCAGTTTCTTTGTTTTCCCCAGTTTTTCTGCTTACAGCTTTTAGTGCATCACTAGGTGCTGGTAGAATGACACTTGGAATCGATTTGATTTTTTAAATTGTATTAATCTTGCATGTAGAGACAATACAAAAACGCCTATTATCAATCATTCATGGACATCTGAGCTGGTTGTTATTGGACGGAAAGTAGAAGTATGTAGTATTTTCTATATTCTCTGTTTTTTCATGTGTACCAGCACTGAGAAACTAGAATGTATTATTATTGTAGGCTACAATAAGCACTACATTGTTGACTGTTTTAGCTAATGCTCATACTTAAGTGAACCAAGTAGTGCTTCAAAGGAAGAACATGTACTACTGTACGTCATTTCATTTTCATCCACTGAACTCTGTGCTGTACATCACATGTTTACATTCTGTATTGTGTTGTTTATTCTGGGTTTTTCTGTGCTTAACCTTTCCATAATGTCTTTTTTTTACGTTGAAACATGTATTCAACAATGTTCATATGTAAATATTTCAAAGAAAAAACATTTTTTACATTTATGTTTTAAAACAATAACCTGGTGTTTCTCTCTTTTTTGTCAGTTTTTTTAAACTTGTCATTTTGTTCTGTCACTGCATCAGGTATTACGCTTCACTTAACTTTTTGTGAGCAATTAACTCATACTGTATGGTGCTGTACCAAAGCCTTATGTATAATATTTGTATTATTTTTCTCTCATTTTCCACTGCTGTCCAGTGAATTCTGTATCGTCTCAGACCACATCTTACTCACTCTTCATGTTCAACTGCCATGGATTTTGTTTCTTTATTGAGAAAAAAAAAACAGAAGCCTGAATGAACAATGATGTAAAACCACTCTGGCCTGTTACCAACTAGTCTGAGTATACAGCGACAGTTGCCATCTCAAGCCTATATAGGGAACAAGCACCGGCTCACTCCTGGTGGCTCATCATGACATAGACATGGGCCTATGATCTGTGCTCTATCTATGGCATGTCTGTGAGAATATGAAAGCATTGTCACCATATCATTTCAAATGCTTAATCCCATTCAAAATTTTCCTCTCAAATTTTTGTATTTTGATATAATAAAAAAAATCAAAAGCTTTTTTTGTGTTTTTTTTCCCTCTGGGAACAAACAGATTAAGACTGTTCAATGATAAAGTGACTTGCACTTCTGTAGCACTTTTCACTACTTGCCTGTTCACTTATGTACTCACACATTCGCACACACACACACACACACACACACACACACACACACACACACACACACATTCATACACACATGCACACCGATGGTGGGCAGAGCTGCCTCTACCTTTGAGCCACAGCTGCAAATAAGAAGATGTAGTTCATATGCTGAACTCAGGGTGTAGGTGTTGGGCAGAGAGTGGGGAAGATGGTGTTGTGATAAGTTCATCTTAATCAGGTTAGATTGTTGTTTTTATTTTCATTCCAGGACACATAGTCAGCAGCCCAGGAGTTAAAGTGTCAGCTTTCAAATCCAAATTTTCCTTCAAATAATCAAAAATATTCACAAATTATCAATAAATGTAAGCTAACTTATGAAACAAAATGTTCCAGGAAGCTCAGACATTGTGTTTAAAATCATGCATGTTGTTCAGCCATTAATAATTGGACTGTGGCTTTGCATCTCCACCCAGATGTTAAGGAATGAATTGTGTGTTAGCGAACCAGGACAAGGACAAACAAATGCCTTCACGGAGGATGAAGTCTGTCAGAAAGACCTTTGTGCTTATGCTCTAATTCCCTCAGGCAGGCTGGGAAACAAACAAATGAGCAGCCATCTGCATACACCTCAGGAAAATGAATAGTGCATTTAATCCACTGGTCAAACACACAAACCTTCAAGGCCACTTCACCTAAAGTTCAAAGCAGATTTTTGAAGAGATGTTTAATTGTTTTTTAATAATTCCTATTATTGTAAGGCTACATTTTTAGTCAAAACAAGTCACTCATTTAAGTGACTATATGCTAGGGTTTGATTTTTTTTATTCTTAATTTTAAGCAACCCACTGGTCTACAAAATATCAGAAAGCAGTTTTTTGTTTTTCTTTTAAAAAAGCTTCTTGCAGTTTCTCATAGCCCAAATATGACAGCCTCAAATATGCTGTTTTGTCTGTTCAACAATCCAAAACACAACTAGACAGCCTAGTTGTTGTCATCCAGCTATGAGAGCTGAGAGATATATATTGAAGCCTCATAGTTCATAAATCAAAGAGCTAATACATCAAATCAAATTGCCTAAAAATGTAGACAGTTTTGAAGGCATAGGGGCCCCAGTGAGCCCCAGCAAAAGTTAAATTTGACATTATTCCCTTCAGTGGACATGCACAATAATAAAATGTACTAGGATGTGTGATTTCGCTCCTCTCAGTTTCCATCCCACCTACACTAGGTGGTTATGTAACGCTGTACCAACCATTACCTAACACCGCACACAACTCGCCAGCTCGGGCTGGTGAGTGTCATCAAACACGGGCTCCGTGTATGTATTCACGTTTACTTCATATTTGGGCCCTTGTCTTTGACACGCTCTGGGGGCCACCGGGGCTAAATCATTCAAGGCGCGGGCACAAAAACAAGTGTGCGCGCTCCCGTTGCCGAGTGCAGGCAGGCAGTCCGCGGCTCCCCCGGAATGACTCCCACACCGGCTCAGCGATGTGGCACCGATCGCGGTTCTTACCCCGAAGTCACATAGATGATGAGCTGTAACCTGCGTGTGTCCGAGCTGAGCGTCTCTGTACTGCGATGGTGACAACATGTCTCCTCAGCGCTGCGCAGCTTAGAGAGGACAGCGGAGTGGAGCAACGTGTACACCTACTGTACAGGTAGGCTGTGTGAGCACGGATCGTCCCCGGCTGCTGTTTAATGTGCTGCCACTGCCCTGGCGCTGTGCTCTCAGCACCTTTCGGAGGTGATTTTCCGATTGATCAGTTGGCAGAAGAACGTGTGTCCTTGGTATTACTTACATTATGGAGACCGAAACCTGTTAAGACACTCACATTGTGGGGACTCGGCCTTCCTAGTGGGGACCGGAGGCTGGTTCCCTCCATGTACATCACTGAATTTTAGGGTGGCAACGTGGTTTAAGGGTTAGGCAAGCAGTGGTTATGGTTAAGGTTGGGATAAGTTTATAGGAAATGAATCTAAGTCAAAGTAAAGTCCCCACAAGGAGAGAAAACAGTATGTGTGTGTGTGTGTGTGTCTGTGTGTGTGTGTCTGTGTGTGTGTGTGTGTGTTATGGTTGCATGTCAGGCCCAACAGGTCAGAGTACACTGGTGGCAAACTTTTCTCATTGGATCCCAGTTCTGTTGCTGGAGAGGGCTGGTGATGTCTGATTGCAACACAGGTTATGAAAACCAATCTGTGCTGTTTTTCTTCTGTTGTGTTGCTCTAAAATACATGGAGATAGATGTACTGTAAGTGCGTGAAGCCTGTATCATATACATGTGTGGGTGTTGGAAAGAGCAGGGACAAACAGCCCAACTGGAAAACCTTAGGAGCTGATTGGTTGATAAATCCTTTAGCTGAACAGCAGAAATTATATAATCGATTACACATACAGGCAATTTTTAAGCAAAAATGCCTTCACATTCTAACATTATACAAACCAAGTAATTTGTTATTTAACAAGTTGCAGCCCCACAGTAGACTAGGAAGCCTGGATCCACAAAATGCAGTTGGAAGTGTGGGGGTAAAATAATGGGTACATATTAAGTATTCTATGATGTAATGCAGTTCGACAACACAATCATAGCCTGAAAAGCATGACCACAGATTTATGATACACCTCCCTGACATAGTTGAATGTGAGCTTGACAAAGATGATAATGATCATTTGTTTAGTTATTAAACATAAAAAAAAATCAGCAACTATTTTCAATTAATCACTTTCATTTCCAAACAAAACGATAATAATTTGAAGATGTGAGAGAGAGAGAGAGCGATAGAGATGGATGTGAGGGCTCTGTTGTTGTTTTCATTTTTCTAGCTATTAAGTTTTTTTATAAGATCTTATTTCATGTGTTGTTGTTTATTTTCTATTGCTGTAATGACTGGCGGTCACTCTAAAATTTCATTGTACGTGTTACAATGACAATAAAGGATCATCTCATCTTATCTTTCCTTTTACCTTAGGGTTCAGGAAATGCCATTATTTGCACTACACCAGTATTACACAACACAAAACTTGTTTGTGTTTTGAGGACAAACTAATAGGTACATGACATGTTGAGCTGGACTGATTAGTTGATTAAGACTGATGGAAAAATGGACTTAATAAAGGGCTAGGCTAGTGTGAGGAAGAAGAAGAGAGGAAGGTGGAGCTGGGCAAACCTGACACACCTGCAGTAAAAACTATGTTCCCACAATAGTTTGACCCTCATAATATGATTCCTTGACTATGAAAACCTGCTGCTGTTATTTAGAATCACACTGGTATCACTAGTAATTTGACAGTAATTAAAGGAAAAAGATTTTTCAGTGATGGAGGTTTTCTTCAGGATCTAGCTCAGTAGCTTTTGAAAATACATCAATTGTTGACATCCTACTTAGTCAGTAGAGTTTCAGCTTGAATTTGATCTTAGTTGCAAGTCTGTAACATCGTTTGCTGTCTCACAGTAGCGTGTTTCCCACGAACCCTGTGAATTTTAACATTCTGGATCAGCACAGCCAGACGATTACTTGGACCCACATCAGACTTTGGTGTGTGGTAGATCTTATGTAGATGTTATCGAGCCATTTGTGTCCAGACACTGTGGGCACCGTGTATAGAGTTAGAGGCCACAATATCGAAAATGGCCTTGTGATTAAGAATCCTGTAAAAGATTCCTGATCCGGATGATGATCAGTATCAAAATCTAATGGACTGTTTCACTGGCCCTACCCTACCTCTCCAAAAATACCATCCAAATCCATTCATAAAATTTTGAATTATGCAAAAAACAAATGCTGGTGAAAACACGACCTCAGTGCTGAGGTAACTATTTTGATATTAATTGGATAATGACACATTCCCCAAATGTGAATATCTGCTGGTTTTCTTCGTCAAACGTAATAATAGGCTGAGTATTTAGGGGAGTTGGACTGTTCATGGGAGAAAAAAAAGTAAGCTTGGGCATTTTTCACTGTTTTCTGATATTTTACAGATCAGATGATTAATCAAGAAAACTGTAAAATAAATCAGTACATTTAAAAAAAATGCAGCCCAGCATTGTATTGTGCAGCCATCTATCGGTTCAGGTCACAAGTGGGAGCAGGTTCAGCTCCTCACTTGTAAGGATTTACTGCTACTCTTTGTCTCTTTGTGATAATAACCACTAGCTTTAGATTATGGAGTGTACAGTGCCTTGTGAAAGTATTCGGCCCCCTTGAACTTTGCGACCTTTTGCCACATTTCAGGCTTCAAACATAAAGATATAAAACTGTAATTTTTTGTGAAGAATCAACAACAAGTGGGACACAATCATGAAGTGGAACGAAATTTATTGGATATTTCAAACTTTTTTAACAAATAAAAAAACTGAAAAATTGGGCGTGCAAAATTATTCAACCCCCTTAAGTTAATACGTTGTAGCGCCACCTTTTGCTGCGATTACAGCTGTAAGTCACTTGGGGTATGTCTCTATCAGTTTTGCACATCGAGAGACTGAAATTTTTGCCCATGCCTCCTTGCAAAACAGCTCGAGCTCAGTGAGGTTGGATGGAGAGCGTTTGTGAACAGCAGTTGTCAGTTCTTTCCACAGATTCTCGATTGGATTCAGGTCTGGACTTTGACTTGGCCATTCTAACACCTGGATATGTTTATTTGTATTTATTAGTCATTTAGGTCAACATTGGATCATTCAGAGATCCTCACTGAACTTCTGGAGAGAGTTTGCTGCACTGAAAGTAAAGGGGCTGAATAATTTTGCACGCCCAATTTTTCAGTTTTTTATTTGTTAAAAAAGTTTGAAATATCCAATAAATTTCGTTCCACTTCATGATTGTGTCCCACTTGTTGTTGATTCTTCACAAAAAATTACAGTTTTATATCTTTATGTTTGAAGCCTGAAATGTGGCAAAAGGTCGCAAAGTTCAAGGGGGCCGAATACTTTCGCAAGGCACTGTATGTTGGACACTGGGCTTTGGAGAGGCTGATGGGCATTTGTCACAATTTCCTGACATGTTAAAGACCAAGAGATTAATTGCTAAATACTTTTTATCTGCACTCATACAGTTGTGAAGCCTGTAGCCAGTATCTCTAATGTGTGTGTGTGTGTTTTGGAGTATGTAGGGACAAAATAATAGGTAGGTAATAGACAGGTAGGTATTTTATGATGTAATGCAGTGCAATAACACACACACACAATCACTGCTTCAAAAGTCGTTACGACAGCGTTAAGTCAACACCTCTTTGACATAGCTGAACATAAGCATGACAAAGTAATTGGTGCAGCAGTGCTAGATACTGTACAGGTAAGTAATACTGTATATATACTGTATGGGAGTTTGTCTGACACTCAGTACTGAGTTAGTGAGCCAGTAGCATAGTGGTATAGTTATATCCTCTATAATAATCACTGTCATATTCCTAAAAATATTTGCCTCACCAGTGAAATTAGCTCCTCACTCTGTATGATTCATCTGTTTTAGAGGAGGTAAATCTGTGCTTAAAACAGAAAGGCCTCTGCTTTGGTGACAGATTGGCTCATTTATTAAATATTTTCTTTGTCTACAACTTAATCACCCTGCTGTTTGTCCCGCTCTCTGCCTTTCATCTGTGTAGCTGAGGGTTGCAGGACAAAGATAGATCTGTGATACCAACTCTGTGCGAGATAAAATAAAGTTAATCTCACTCTGGTAGATTTTGAGAAGATTATAGGATCATATGACCCCCACCTCCTCCTCCAGGAAGTTAATTGAGTGACAAAGCTCCAGTATAGATGGTTGATTTAAAAAAAACAAACACTGTGGTTTGCTCAGCCCGAGGCAGCACACTGGGTGTCTGAGCCCTGCAGGGTTGCCACCACCTCAGGCAGACCCGGTGGTCACAATGATGGTGATGACATGTCAAAGCTTGTGGTCAGTGGTTTCTATAAGGCTTCATTTCCCTCCTGGTGCTGTATCATCTTCAGTCTAGAGGCGCAGCAAGTCACGATGGATGGGAGAGCGGTTACCGTGGCAACCGTGGGACTTCCTCCACTGCGTCTCTTGCTTGTGTTGACTGCATTCCATAGCTCACAATGAGAGCATGAACCAAGTTTCCCCTCACTGACAAAGGGCCTTTCACTTCTTTGCGAGCTGCAGTAAGACCATGGCATTTTAAAGACCAGTTAAAGCTGCTGTGATGAACATTTTTATATACTGGCAATGGATGGAATATGTGTAAGTGAAGGGGGTTTGTTATAGTGATGAACCCACAGAGAATTATCACCTAACTTTGCAGTGTACCACAGCTTTGCAGAGCAATTCAGTGTCTTTTGGCTCATTGTTGTCCCATACACTACCTGCCTGCCACCAAACAGCAGACAAACAAATCTAGCAACTATAGCTGGTGAACACAGTGGAACATTTAGCAGCTAAAGAGCCACTGGTTTCCCTCAGGAGCTGGTAGTGACCAAACACAGAGCAAAAAAGGATGATGTTCATCATTTGTTCACCAACACAGTGTCAAAGAAACGATACTGTGGTTCCGTATCTGATGTACTGTATGCTTCAATTCAAAACTGCTTCCTAACAAGTGTTGTGTTTTCAGCCTGTTTCAAAATCAAATCACATTCAGTAATAACCAATATTTTGACATGCAGGAGCACAAAATAATAGTCACCTGCAGGGGCATGAAAGTGCACTCACAAAAGAGTAAAGAGAAATGGAGATTGTACCTTGTAATTATGACTTACTACTTTCAGTGGTTATTATCTGACAAGATATTACAGGCATAATGGTAGAGAGAGAGAACTACAAAGCAAACCTATTAATTAGCTAATTTCTGTTATGAAAATATGACTTTATCAATTACAGCCTTCCTTAAGCACTGTACCAGAGACCACTTGGTTCTACTGCAATTCCTCAGTCACCTGTGGAGGTCAGTAAAAGCACTACCTCATATCCATGTGTGAGCTGTATTGTCACTTACATCTAATTATGTTTGTGTGGAGTCTGTGTTGTTAAAAACCCTGATAAAACTGAAATGGCAGTTAGTCTGTGTTGTTAAAAACCCTGATAAAGCTGAAATGGCAGTTTTTATGTTCCTCCTCCTTCTTCTTCTCCTTAGCCATACTTGTGTCAATATCAATGTCAAATTTATTTACAAAGTACATTTAAAAACACCAACAGCTGGCCAAGGTGCTGTACCATCAAAAGTTAAAAGACACAATCTCCCCTGTTCTTCAGCCATGTTTTAGGGATGACTGGTCAGCACACCTGAGGTTGTAAGAAGTCAGAGGTTGGGTGGCACCCACCCGTTTAGTGCTTTAAAGGTCACTAATAAAATCTTAAACTGAATCCTAAGAGATGACAGGAGCCAATGAAGGGAGGCCAATATGGGTGAAAGGTGCACCTGCTTGTGGGTATTTGTTAGAAGACACGCTGTAACATTCTGTAGCAGTGGTTTCATTTATATCTCTCCATTTTTTGGTAAAGGAGCTGTGATTCACATAGAGTACACACATGTGCTGCGTGTTTGTGTCCACAAATATGTCGACTAACATGCTCGATCAAACCGGTTTCAAACACAGTGCAAAATTGTGTAGGCTGCCCTATTTTTCCTGTAAACGCCATGTAGGCCATCACATGCCTGGGCGACATCTTCCTGTTCTTTACAGTCTCTTGACATCAGAACAGTATTTCTGTCTCTAAGTCTGGCAGGTAGATGTCATCTTCATTGCTACATCTGGAACAGTGCTGCTTAAAACATTATGACTGAGAGAGACAGAGTGGAACGATGGGTTCTTCCTGATCTACAGGAGCTGTGAGCAGTGTTGGTTCCAAGGTTTCTAACACTCAGCAAATGTCAGATACTCTATGCTGTCTGGTTTGACATTGTTCTGTTTTTCGCATCTGTGATGCTGCAGTATGCGCCCCCCCATTTTCCTTTGGACAATTTCACATACAGAGCAAGATCACCTCATGAAACTCAGACTTTTTGTAGTCGTCTTTTTATAGCTCCAGCTATTTTAGGATTCTCCAAAATAGCCTATTTTTCATGTACTGTGGTGTTCAGAATACTGAGGGATGCTTGCTATAAGGCACCGGTTCAGTGTTCTGTCTTTTAGATAGAAACAAAGAGCCCATGACTCTTTTACTGGGCAGGCCACTTTGAAGCACATAACTAGTACAACATGTTCTTACACTTGAAAAGACTCACTGTCTGATGTGGTGCGATGAGCAAGGTCGAGCATTATTCTTTGTACCACCCAGTACAGTTTTATCATGGAATGCCTGCAGCTGCCAGGGATTTTTGTCCTCCATTAGCACAACATATTCAGAATACTGTAGACACGGTAATCACAGTAGCCGTATCTTGATAACCGCATGATGCAGTTTTGTCTTTGTGTTGTCCTGCATATTTAAGATATACAAAAAGTCACTCATTTTATTACAAGTTCTTCCACATCTCTTTAATTCAGTGATACACTGTTCATTCATATGAGTTTCCAAAGATGTTTTCCCCAAGTGACCCTCATTAGGCAGGTCTTTCTAAACAGTAAATGAATTCGCTGTGTAATGCCTTGGCTATCCTCTGGCAAGGCTATGTGGTCAATTAGAGAAGAGATACAGTATGAAATGTGAATACATCGGGGTCCGATCTGGCCTGGATTCCTGTCTGCCTGCTCACATTCTGCTGAGTCAGGAGGCTTTGTGGAAGCTTTAAACAGAAACTCTGTGAGGCTCCGGGCCAGAGGGGCTGGTGGGAACCTGCTACTATAGCAGCAGTCGAGGCTATCATTGATTAGCAGATGTGCTTAGGGAAAAGGTGAAATTGCCTGTTAATGGAGGGATTTTTATTTGTTTTGCAGCTGAGCCTTTGAGATATGAGAAACGGTGTGATGCCGTGCCCACCTGGCCTGATGTCACTGTTGTACACTACAAAGTTATGGGAAGATTGTAGAGCAACATTAGGGAGAGTTTAATTTCATGCCCTCTTGATGTTCCTGTTGTTTGTTTACAGTAAATAGAGAGAAGAGTAGTAAACAATGGAGTGCGGTAAAGCATGAGAGTGATGGGGCTGCCCCAGTATCAGTCTGTGTACACATGTACAGATATTATCAAAGATGAATGAGGGCACATATCAGAATTATGTTTTCATTTTTCCTGTGGGATGCTTTGGTCTGTTTTTCTAATGGTATTTCAAAGAGAACTGTAATGTCGCTGTATTTCAGTGTTTTCTGTTGAATTAACAGCAGTAACACATAGTAGTACATCGTGTGTTGGAGCGCCACATGACTGCTGCTTTTCTGTGTGCTAGTTAGTTTGCAACAGTTTCATTAGATGTAATATTATTTTGGAATATGCATCATGTGAGCGGGGTGGCACGGGGTGGATTGGTGAGGTGGAAGGGTTAATGCTGTTCTGGAGCAAAAAGGTTCTGAGTTTGAACCTGTGCCTGTGTGCGTTACCTTCCATAGTCCTAAGGCCTACAGGTGCTAATCACTGTGTGTTTGGATAAACACCTACTGTACAGCCATCAGTGGGGTTTTGCCTTACATGTGGGATGATTTTCAGTGTGGGGGCTGAGGAGGTGGTGGGGAGTTTATACACACTGGAAAATATGTCCCAACTGTTCCAGAAATACAAAATATATATATATATATATATAAATGAATATATACTATACACATACATTTTAAAAGCAGAAGTAATGAGCCTGCACCTGTTCTGTATGTCCCTGCAAATCCAGGGACATGTATTGGGGCTGTTGTGACAGTCTGACATTTCCTTGAGGGGGATATGAGCATGTTTCCTAGCTAAAACCTGACAATGCACAGCTCAAAAGAAGCTGATCCTATGAATTTGCAGCCTGACATGCACTGTCTCTGAAACAGCTCCTGGCACTGTAGCATGATGTCATCGCAGATTACAGTCTGGGCTCTGTGGACTGTAGCCTTGAAAGTCGTCATGCTGCAGCCTTAATGGGTTAACGTTTGACAGCGTTGTTGCATCGGACACTTCCACTCATCTTTAACTCTTTTACCCACCTACTTTCCTTCCCTCACTCTCTCTCATTTTCCCTCCCACTCACCTTTTTCTATAGTGGGCTGTTGCAGTAAGGCAGCATCATGGAGGCTGGGTGTGTGGTTGCCGCGGTGATTGAAAATGCTACCTCAGGAGTCCAGGGAGAAACAGGAAGTAGTGACGTTCTTGAGGGGTGAGTTACTCTTTTTCCTCTTTTCATGTCAGCTGACCTGTATAATGTAAAACCACAGAGGTCGACACCCAGAGCAGTATGTATAAGGATTATGTGCCTGCATGGTCACTGACATGTGTGTTTGATTTGAATGAGCTGCTACATGCATATACTGTAAGAGGGAGTAGTGCAGTGTTAGGGCTACAATGTGACTCTGCTCTCAGAGAGAAACTGTGCTTGTTTAAAGCTCCCTCAGGTCCAAAGCTCACTGTGCTTCCTGTGAACATACATTATGTCTGTGTAATAGCTGTGTCACATGTGGATCTCAAAAATCACCCCGTGTGTCAGTGTTGTTGGCCTCATGTCCTCATGTCATCGCACTGTTGTCACTGTGACAAATCCAAGGCCTATCTCTGTCTCTCCACTCTTTTTTGCTCATAAGCATTGAGCTGAATGGACCTCACCCTCCACTCCTCAATACATCCAGCCACAAGCGAAGATTTTGTGAAGCACCCCCTTGTGGCTGGCTTGCTTTTATGGCTCCCTGAATGAACACGCTTTGCTTTGCTGAGCTTATATAAAAGGCACCCTGGCTTTTTGTTGACCCCACAGAAGGTGCCACCATTTTTTGACTAATGTGTGTTGAGACTTAACTAAATTTATTGCATTTGTTCCCTTCTAGACCTAACTGGAGCAGATTTTTATTTTCTTGTGTTTTATTGATGATGTTACAGTTTCAACCACTACAGTTCTAGCACAACATGTTTTCTGGGCCATGCTGGTGCAATGTCATGGTTTTAGTCCAAGCCACATAATGTGACTTCATCTCACTCACTTGCTCCCTCTGGTGTATTTAAAAAAAAACTACAAGTCTAATTTCAAAAACTCACACTACACTGATGTGGACATGTCACTGTTCTTCTATTTTAATCCCTGGCCTGTGATTTTCTGCAGAGATGTGCTACCATTTACTGACCTGGACAAAGATGATGCCTTACTTCAAGCCATCAAAAATAATCTTCTAGAAGAGAAACAGCGACAAGAGACATCCACTGCCATGGTACATGCTCATGCAGACTCTGACTTGGAGTCATCATTTATACAAAATCCAAAAAAAAAACTAACAAAAAAACCCATAAACCTAAAGACCTCATCCTGTCATCTTGCTTCCATCAGACTGCACTAGTTCAGCCGAGGTTCGAAACTCGGTGCCTGCAGTCCACATGTTGAAGTGTCCTTGGGCAAGACACTGAACCCCCCAGGTTGCCCGTGATGGCGGCGTGTATGCACGCAGCGGCCCGGGGCCCCTCAGCTCCAAACAAAATTTCGTTGTACGTGTCACAATGTTACAATGACAACAAATTAAAGCTCATTCTTCTTCACAAAGATGATTCACACCATTATGTAACACAACATAGAGCAGGCATGTGAAAGTCACTAGTCACATTGATAAATGTGTGAAAACATATACATTTGCATTTGGTGGTGTGTTCTGTTAATGCTGAGGTAAAGGTGCAATAACAATATTGTCATATACAGTTGATGTTTTTCCTCTCACCCTAAGTTTCCTTCTGGTCACTGCAATTTTATATAATTAAATGCCACAACATCTCTTTCTTCAGATGTTCTTGGAGGAATTAACCTGTTTTTGAAATCAAAGTCTGTCATCTTCAGCTTTTTTCAAAATTAGAATAATGTACATATAATGTTGTTATAATAGTTGCTAACACACATACAAATGTACCAAACTGTATCAGTACCACTGTGGCATAACATAATATTAGCATAAAATAAGCTAACATGGCTTAACATAACATAATATAACATAACATAACATAACATAACATAACATAACATAACATAACAGAGAATACCATACTTTAGTATAGCATAACAATATTAGCATAATATAGGCAAAATGTAATATAACTAGCATAACATAATAAAACTTTGGTTTAGTTATGCAAAGCAATATTACAGTAATGTAAGATAGAATAGCATAAGATAGCAAAAAGTAACATCATTTACCATACCAAAGCTTAGCGTTGCAAACAAAACATAAAATAACATGTCATAAGATTAACTGCATACGTGAAAATAAACTAAACAGGTTTAACTAAACTAAACTAAACAGACTGTACTTATTGATGTCTGTATTCTCTGTGTGACAGGTGAAGGGTGATATCACAGAGCACACATCCGAACCCCTCCTGCTCTCCTGCGCCAGCACAGCTAGCATGAAGGTCAAGAACATCAAGAAGTAGGTGCTGCCCATGACAGTGCTGCTGCTATTATTGGCAAGCTGTAAAACCAGGGCTCTTATCCAGGCCAGGGAAATGAGGAGCTATAAAATGATGGACGTGACACAGACAGACAAGTTAGCCTGCTGCATCTCTAACCCTGTTCTCACATCCCCCTCCTTTGCTCTCTTTTCACTTTGCTTGTTCTCTCCATCACAGGGTCAGTGTGTTGAATGCTGATGAGGTGCTGTTGTGTTTTGTAGGTTAATGTTCCCCAGAGGTCACTTCCCCAGGCTGGCAGAGTGTGCCCATTTCCACTATGAGACTGTTGACTTTGGCAGTGTTCAGGTGAGCCTTTCTACAGCTTATGCTTATGAACTCTGTCTTTGGCTCAAGTTCGGTGCACATTTTGTTGAACTGCTCCAGAAATGCATTTTATTCTTAAAATGCAATATGGCAGTTTATTCAATATCCTTGTTTGCCTTCCTTGGACAGTTCCACCTTGATTATTGTGTTTTCCTTCTTTTTAATTGCAGCTGTCAGGGAAGCTAGAAAATATTAATTTCTCCAAAATTATATTCCACCATGCATAAATGATTGCGTTCACCATTACAGATTTTATTAGTCCCATTCATATTAAATCAGTGATCTGATTCCAACAGCATGTTAATCATCTGATTTGTGGTATGTACAGTAAATGTCAGAGTCATCCCTCCTCTGTAAACATGTGATCCTGGCTTATTGCCTTTGACTAAATGAGATGCAGCAGACTGAGCTGAGTCTGAACAGGAACTGAAGGAGATGACTTATTTTAAAGTAAACCTGTTCTCGAGAATATATTGTGTTTAGTGCTAATTACAACCCCAAATCAGAACAAGTTGGGACAGTATGTAAATCTAAATTAAAACTGAAAATAGTGATTTTTAAATTATCTTTGTCCTGTATTACATTGAAAACAACACAGCAGCACATTATCTGATGTGATACCTCATCAGTTTTCTTTCTTTGTTCAAAATAAACACATGTCCTTTATGATGCCACATTCCCCAAAAAATTGGGGCGGCTGCATTTCAGGGCTAGTGATGAGGTAAAATAATGAAATGATGATTCCATTTGAAACAGGTGGCATCAACAGGTGACATGCATCATGATTTGGTTCAAAAGTGGCATCCAGGAAAGGCCGAGGCCTTTAGGAACAAAGGACCACCAGTTTGCCAACATATGTGTGAGAAAATGATTGAAACAATGTTCCTCATAGAAGGATAGGAAGGGATTTGGATATGTCACCCTCTACGGTGCAGAACATCATTAAAAGATTTAAGGAATCTGGAGGGATTTCAGTGCATCAAGTGCACAAGCCTAAGCTGGATGACCATGCTCTCTGATCCCTCAGATGGCACCGCATCAAGAACCATCACTCTTCTATAAGC